AATTCTAGCGCTCAGCACACATGCCTTCCAACTTTTGAAATTAACAGTACAACTTTTGAAAATGAGAAGTAATGCAGTTGATGGATATGTGATGGGTCATTGTATATCACTGCAATGAAATATATGTGGCACGATGAAATATTTAATGTACATGTGCACGTGGCTTATTGCGAAAAACATATGGGGAAATGATTCAGATTCTGATCTGAGGGGTGAAAATGAATTTTGAACATTTCAGTTTCTGAAATTGCGAAGATATGCAACATTCATTCCAAACAAACTCTCGTTTCATAGTGGTGATTTCGATTATTCTGGTGTTGAGACTCATGAACCTGTGGAAAGAACCCATCGGATGCATGAATGAAGGTGACTGAAGTCAGTTCCAGCAGAATTGCATCGCATCAAAAGAATCTTGATATGTCATCAAATTCAGCACTAGTCTGTCTATCCAAAAACTCAAAATGACCACAACTCTATTCACTGTAAAGTTTAAACGCGTCACATTTTTTGTTTAATTCATTAATTCATCAGCAACTTCAAAAACTCGCAGTTTCAATACGAAATTTTCAGCTGCAATATTTGTTCAGGCATAATCAGCAAATTCATTGAAAACTGTGCGATCATTCAAAAATTGTTCAAATTCAAATTGGGAGAAATTTAATGAATGGGAATTTCATCAACGAGAGCAATGCTAGGAGATGAGAAGATCGTTATAAACATTTCCAAGAATAGGGGACAAAATATTCAGGTTCACATGAAAATAATTGAATTCGATGCAAGCGATGCTACAAAATTGCCTCTTAATCAAGGATACAACGACTTGTTGAAACGTTTCGATTTTCAGACTCATTATCAAAACTCATTGGACCGTAACCGATACAGCAAAATCTATTCAACGTTTCATTATTTGCAAACGAACTTCACCCTGCCTCATCAAGACAAGGAAATAAAATTTTACTAAAGTAAAAAAACTGTTTTAATTTTTATTTTTAGGGGCTTATATTTTTTGATATCTTTGGAATTTTTTTTTTTGATTTTGCTTTGATGCCTCCTCATGATTTGGGTGGTATTCGGCTCCCTATTGATATGTATTTGGTTAACCCTTTTAATGTGCCTTTCTTGAATAACATTATGGCTTTAAACAAAGGTGTTTCTGTGATGTGGACATAGTAATGGCTTTACTTACTATGATTGATTTGCTATTACAACGTAAGAAGTGCATTTTTTAGGTGCAAAAAATTTTGGATAGCTAACAAATATCAAACAGTTAGCTGCGACTAGTGATGTCTCTATACCACCTTTCTGAAAAATCTTCTATTCTATTCTTTTGAGCTCAAAAATGGTTTTATTCTATTCTATTCTATGGCATTTTTTCCATTTCAATTGCTCGCAACAGCAATATTTTCACTGTGACTGTTCATTTTGCGATTTTTTTTTTGTAAACTATCGCAGTATTCTTAATGAAAATTTCTCATNAATATTTTCACTGTGACTGTTCATTTTGCGATTTTTTTTTGTAAACTATCGCAGTATTCTTAATGAAAATTTCTCATTCTGTGAGCACTTTTTCCACCCGAGGCGCATGCAACACTAGTATTTGATGTTGAGTGCTGAATTATGTTTTGACATCATGAAAAATACTCCAAATTTGAAGTGACAATGTGTCGCTTTCCAGAGATTCCACTCCTCTCCCTGACCCTGTGCTTTGAATCAATTGCGGAGGTTGCGCTACGGCAATTATTCCCTCTCAATTTTCAGGACTGCATTCAGTCATTTCATTTTATACGCGTTTACAAAGCATTTTCCTCTCGTTCTCTTGCCATAAAACACTAGACGTGTGCGCTTACGGAATTACTTTTCGGCTTCTCTCTCACAAACCATTTGAAAAGTCGCTCTCCACAAAACACATTCTCCAGCGGTTGACTATAAGGTGATAAAAAAGTGAGCTTAATGATTTCTTGAATCAATCCATTTCCAGTGAAATTTCATACAGGCTGCCTTTAAGCAATACGATATCGGGCCGGGGCATAAGACATGGAATGTTCCAAAATTCCGAACTTGTACGCTCCGGTGTTCTGCAAAATGATGTAAAAGCCTGTGTAACATGAATTTCGACAGGATTATTTTGTCGGTACGAGTTGTGACAATGCAAAAATGACTGGCGACAGAGAAGCTTGTTGATTTAAGCTAAACCTGGAAGTCACCACTGAAAATTGACAACTCACTGGAAATTACATATCCAAAACCGAATTGTTCCTGTTAAAGTGTTGCAGCATTCACTCTCACGCAACCACAAACTAAGTTTGTGGTTGATCAAATTCGTAAGTTTTCAAAAAGTTATCATTCAGTTCCATCCTAACCTGATGAGACGGAACCTGGAAATTCTCTGATTGACTTTTTAGTGAATCGATTTCATTCTGCGCAATTTTACCACTTGGAATATTGTGCGGATCGATGTTTTTAGAAAGTACGTATGTTCAGGTTGACGAGTATTTGCGTGAATTTTGTGAAGGCACCAGCTAGAGAAGAGAATCCGAATGTTTGATTCGAGAACCTTTGTATATACCTTTATAGGGTATGGATGTGGTGTCTTTTGTCATTCTCGTAACTGTATGCGTTCAATAAACTCATACCCTCTCCTTCAAAATAAAATTTGCATCAGAATAGACCTGAATTTACAGGTATTAAATAACACTCTTATTCTATATTTCTCTCAACTTTCACGATCAATGTCTTGCTTCTTTTCAACGTATGTTGTTCTGTTTCACTATGTATGAAGGAGCGACAGAGAACACCACTGCAGTGTTGCGGAAACACGGATCCTAATGTGCTGCCAATTCGGGCGTACCTTACTCTCAAGTTAGGGCAAATTTAAGATCCTTCTTAAATATTACATAGAGGGGATTCGAGCTGTTAGGAAATATCTTGGGGATAATGTAATGGTGCTCTTTGATACTATTTTGTATATGCTGAAACAAATAGAAACAGGTAATGAAGGGCGAAAAAAGCAGGCTTACATTCGGTTAGTGATGACTCTATACCAACTTTTTGAAAACTGTTCTATTCTATTCTTTTGGGCTCAAAAAGGCCCTATTCTATTCTATTCTATTCTGTGCGTTCCTAGTTTGTGAACTGTACTATTCTATTCCTTGGAATAGAACAGGAATAGAATTGTTTGACTGGAATAAAGATGTCACTAAAGATATAGAAGCACGGAGCACTATTTGATGAAGCACCATTTAATGATCAAAATTCCAGTTCAATCCTCATCCAAATCTTATTCAGAAGGTAATTTTTCGAGGGCTACGAGTTTCTCTCAGAAATTCTGCACTTGCTCTATGACATACTCCAAATGGATAATTATGCACGCTTTTTCGATCGTTGACAGTACAGCTGCGAACGAATTCATAGAAATGCTTGTTCAGATGCTGTTCATTTATGTATTGTCAAGCACTTAACATCAAGCTCTTTGATAATCCAACGTTGTGTAAATAAACAGTGTATGGTGGACAAAAATTTCGAAATCGCAATATCGAATTGGATCCAGAGAATCAGATAGCTGGAAATCAATACGATTTTCATACACAGTTTAGCGTGAACGTATGCCGAATGCAAAATAATCTGTACTTTGTCAAGCAAAATTCTGTTAATCTGCGTCAATTTAGATTCTGCGAAAAAAAGTAATGGAAAAAAAGCAATACTGACAGTAATTCAAGCGAATATAAACACATCGATATGGTGATATGATATGATAGTATGTTATTCAACTTTGAAATATACAAGGTAGCATTGTACGACAATTCAGTTCAGCATTCATTATTACATTTGTCCGTAGTTGAATGAATGTTGCCTCCTTTTCTTTCTATTAGTTATGGAATCCCCCATGATTGACAGGCGACTGTAATAAACCTGAAAAAGAATGACGGGAAGTGAATCCTCTGTAAGAATAGAAATCACTCGGAAGCGCTAGTTGAGTCGCTTCGAAGATTTTTTATCTATCAAATGCGGATGACTCAAAATTACATGAGATTCTTAGAATCATAATAACATATAAACTACACCGTAATATGCTCGGGTTCAGGTTACAACTCTGTTATTCATCAATGAACTTTGCACACAGAAGCAAAATTTCAGTTTTTTAGCGATATAAACTTTCAGAAGGATCACCGAAAATTCACATTCAAAAACACAACAGTTCGTGATAACGTTCGATTCACTGTGTTCAGCTTGAGAACTAAACATTCGATAAAGAAACTGTGACGGGAGAATGGCAGCACTCAGAACAAATGCAAATTTAAATTTGCATTTTTGCATTTTATTTTTGCAAATTTTAATGAAATGATTTTTGACTCTCTGCATCAACTATTTGTTCAGATGATTTCACGAAAATTTGGTGAGCAGTGCTGTCAGCTGAGAAAAATTCATTGTCGAAGAGCTTATAAATACCGATAATGTTGATGATTCCCGTTGATTCGTCTAGACTCTAGAGCATTTCCATTGATGATAAAATTTTTTGAATGGCAATAACTGATTACGATCAAAACTTTGTATCTGATCATACCCCTCTTAATACGCGCTCAAAGCTACGTGATTGAGATCCAAATTTTCCAATTGCCATCAGTTAGAGAAGCTGGAATTCAGTATCTCTAATTTTTGGTTACAAATATTCCTCCCTCCTCTTTTGCATTGACCGTTCCAATAATTTCAGATTCTATATCGTGCTTAAGTGACCACATCATCATACTATTTGCCTCATTGTGAAAGCGAAACCTCGAGTGTGTAACCTCATCAATAAAGTCAAATCCTGAAAAATGAATAAAAGTGAGATTTCAAACGAAATATTTCTAACTTTGGACGTAACAAATTCCAAATGAATGTCTCACGAGGTCGAGACATCGATGCGAACCGAAGTTTAGATATATATCATATCAAAATTTTCTGTAAAAGTATAATTACAATTACAAGACGTCAATTGGCTTCAAATCGAACCACTAAAAACAATGAAACCTTCAGAAATTTCAGGGAATGTATTTCTGATCGTATTAATTGGAGTTCTGTCCGTGGCTTACGTTTGTGAAGCATTAGGTACTAAATTGGTTACACTTGGCCAGCAAGTTAAACTGCAATTTCCAACTGATATCGACAAAATCGAGAAAATGTTCGAACGTGAATCCCGTCCAATTGTTGAGAAGGGAGCACTGACGGATTGGGCGGTTCGTGCGTTTTCTTTCTTCGTTAAAGTTGATTGTAATCGAAAGTTGAATGTAATTCTGCTGCTTCTCTTTCACTGTGACACCTGTTGCAACATAGCAACGCAATTGTTAGTCGTGACAATGCTGTTGAATGTCCACATAAATGAGTAATGACCGAAAAAGTTTACAACCATCAATATTGTATCGCTGTTTGTAACACAAATATATTAACAAAAGAATATTATCGCCTGAGAACCGGAACCTTAACTGTGTGCAAGTTAAAAGTTGTTTTTTCTTGAAACGTTTATAATGAAGTACTTGGTCTCAGCACCGCCTGAAAATTTTCACGACTTAACGCATTACTTCGAAAGGCATGCAACACCACATATGGCAACAACTTACCAGTGATATTATGCTGAGTTGTTCCATAATAATATTTTATGCTCTTTCAGCGCAAAATGTTTGGTGATCGTGTATCGTATGCCAGAGATGGAACGCTAACTATTCGTGATATTAAGCCATCTGATATGGGCGATTATGAATTCGAACAGGGTCGTGGAGTTTACAAGTGGACTTTAGAAAAATTGTGAGGTTCTGAGTAAATTTGATGTGCGATTAATTTGAATAAAGTGTTTCATAAATTGGTTTCCCAAACAGATAATTTATTGATGGTCATCAAATTATTTGAGTAACCGATTGCTGTTAATTGTGAATAAATTCGGCTGGAGCGATTTCACGCAATGACATTAGCAAATGCGTTCTAAAACTGAGGAGGCGAATATCGTTATGAAGCGAAACAATCCCACCCACCCACCAGCCCTGGCCTGGAACTGATTCCAACCCCCACCTCCCACCCTACCTCATCCCACCTCCCACCATACCTGCCGCCATCGCAAACTCATCCTCTAACCAAAGAACACAAACTCTTTTCCTCGATGACAATCCGTTGAAAAAGTGTCACTTCAAACTGAAAATTATCTTTCCTGTTGATTCTGTCTCCATTTTTTGATGAAATGGAAATGTTTTTCCATTGATGTCGGGCGAATATTAATTAAAATTTTGTTTCTATGGCCCACTAAGGTGTTTTAAAGATCAATGTGGAAGCTAAACAGATCCCCCAATTTCCTCATTTCAAGGCGGTGGCCCAACCTCCCGACCCCGTCACCGCCTCTGAGATGCTGAAAAATTTAATTCCAACAATTTCAATTATTTGATGAGTTCAATGACTTTATAGTAATATCCATACTAACTCATACTATAAGTTCTCAGTCATTTATTTTGATGGCATCCGACTGGCGTTCGGTCGGAATAATTCCACGAATTTCGGAATTCCGATACTCGAATTCCGACCGTAGAATTTTGAAGAAGGTCGGTCGGAATTTTGCATTTCGGAATTCCGAAAAGTCGATTCAGTTGTATTCCGATCGAACTGAAACTTTGTTCGGATGCCATCATTACTCATTTATTATTATTAATAATATTATTATTTTGGTTATACTAATTAATCGTCTTTATTTTATTAATTATATTTGGTCAGACTGAAATTCGTCGCATTTTTTGACTAAAGTTCAATCGGATAATTTCAATCCGTAATGATCAATACTGAAAGAAGGCTTTTTTGAGGCAAACCAGTCTCTCGTGTCTAATATCTCGAATCTCCTGAAATATTCCGAATTGATTCGTCTCTCGAATCATGTCCATTCGTTCCCTCGATCCATGTCTTCCGATTGCTCGTTCATTCATCCTTATTTGAGAACTGATAACGTTATCTGTACCCTCAGATGTCTTCAGCATCGTGCTATTCAAGCTTCTTCATATGGCAGGAGAGGAATTTAACTTCAAGTAATGTATTCGCGTTAGGGACGAAAATTTCAATTTCTTCTCATCTAGCCTTCTATAAGAATCACATCTTGAGTGTAGTGATCATGATACTATTGGCTATGATATCATATTCATGTGATCTGTACCCATATATCTGGACAAGATAGTGACATTACCTTATATTCGATTCTAGGGAGAGCAGCTCTAGTTCAGGAGAAGTTCATTTATGATTCTCTGAAGAATCTGTATTGTATCTATTGCATTTTCAGTTCGGATAGATTTTCAATGTAAATGAAAGCAAACGAGCGACTTGGCAAATCCTGACCAGCTTAATCTCAGATATTAATTTTTCAGGATTCTTTTCCGAATCACCCGCATGTTTCCGTTTTATTAACTTGATTGCATGTTTATTACACAAATTACGCTAAATCAACTCCCTTTTCTCATTGATAATCCACTCAGCGATTTTCCTGCACCTCTTAATCAAAATTTGTGGTGATACGTACCCAAATGTCTGGACATATCATATCTTTAGTAGTACCAGCTGGCTAGCTTAATTACGGTAACTAGCCACGCCCACAGATTACGGTAGTACGGCAAAAAATGTGGACGTGGCGTACTACCGCGATTCGTGAGCGTGGCTAGTTACCGTAGTTAAGCAAGCCCGTAGGTACTGCTATAACGTTACCTCGTATTCATCTTTAAGAAGAGAACCTCTAGTTCAATAAAAGCTCATATATTGCCGGATGAAGACTTCGATTTTTATGATTCTCTCACAGAACTTCTCAACATCAGAACATTTCGTCGTATTGATTTTGTGCAAGATGATTCAATACAGATGTGAATGTTCTCGAAATTAGATATCAACTTCTTGTAATATAACTTCTGTATTACCGCACATTAATCGACAGGATCACAGCAGTGATCTCAGTGAGCATTACACAGCTCACTTCAGACAATCCACATTCTCAGATTTTGTCAACATCGTAAAATTCAACGTCTTTCATTTCATAGATGAAGAATTCTGATTCAGGAAAAGTATGTTTCCTCGTCGAAAAGTAATATTCATTGTCGAACGAAATTTTCAGCAGTGCCGATAATTCCTGACATGAAAAATTTTCATTTGATAAGTGCACAAAACAACAGCTTAATCACGAACTAATTATTTATTCAACATCTCCGATATACAATCTATACAGCAACAGAACATTTTCCGATTTCACATTCTTAATCAGAATAAAATCTCAAGGAACAATGATAAATCACCTCGAATTCATCGTAGTAATGAACATGAATACAAAGGTTCCGAGTTCCGACAATAAAGATACATTTTCAGAAGCACTGATAAGTATTCATATCAAACGTAGGAAAATGAATCATAAAGAATCACCAAATTGATATTAAGAAAACAATTCGAAACACAAAGTTGCAGAAAAATCACTACAAATAAAATTCAATGATAATATCGAAATCATGACGAGTTGTGGAAATGACTTTAACAAGTTTTCAAATAATGAACAACAATTACCGACAATTATCCAAGCGATTAGAAATAAACATTAACCGAGGATGATCTGCAATCGTATTCACCAAATCCACAAGTCTCAGAATGGCATTCACAATTAAAATCATAATTACACATAAGAAATTTAATCATTCCAAAAGACTCAATGTATTGAACAGTCCGAAAAAAAAGCAAGTACAAACAAATTTAATCAAAGCAACATATCAATTTAATCAAAGGAACATCCGAATATCTCAGAAGTGTTCAGCGATATAACCTAACGATTATGAAACACAAAGAAACAACTTATTCCCACTAACTGATCGTCAGAAGAACAGTATGAAAGTATCACGATATTTAAATGAGGTATTATCATATGGCCAGCAAACATAAAGGATTTTAAATCCCTTATGAAATCGGAAGCATTAAGCGATAGTCATTGCTCAATGTTAGAACTACTGAGCTGGTGCTTTGGCGATTCGTTTCTGAGGATTCCTTTAGAAGGCGAACACAACTAAACTGAAAAAGCAATCTAAAGAAATGAAAACAGTACAAATTATTGGGAAAAATATGAATGAGAGTAAATCAATGATACGGTTGCAATGAATGAGAATAAATGCGTGATATGTTGATATGATCACGCATTCGATAACGTTAGGGATGAGAGTAATAAGACATTGTTTCAAATAGACATAAAAATTCGAGAATGACTATGGAAAATGAACAGGTAGAAGAGAATAGTTTTCAATGGAAGAGTTATTCACAATGTATACAATCAAACAATTGCATGCTTTGCATGTGCCCCTACACAACTATCCATCTGTACTCTAGAGATGATTTTTGTTTCATATTATCATGATCTCTCATCACTCTCATGCGTGATTTTGCAAACTACATTATTGTTGCATTGAATCATGACGAACTTCTCATTCACTTCAGTCATATCACTGATTCGCTCTCATCCCTTCTTTCTCCAGAAATGCACACTCCAGCAATTTGTCTACTGTTCAGTTTCAGAGCACTTGAATTTACAATGAAATAAACGTGCGCGAAACCATTTGGCACCTTACGACAAAGCCACCTTGAGCCGCTAATATCGCTTGTGCTTATAATCCAATGTATGTGGGTGATCTTGAATCATCAACGGCTCAGATTTATTCGCACGAAGTTTCCTTCCTATGTTTTGTACTCATAATTTGAAATCATGATTCACAGCTCTGTTGCAGATCTGAAATGTGGCGTCCACCAAGACTGTATCAAGGTGGTTATTGTCGACCCGGAGTACCATCGGCTGAACCGACCGTACGATTTCCGAGTACGAGTGGTAATATGGGTGCGGTTCCTCCGCCGGCGGCTTTGACTGTTCCCAATGCTGTTGGATTCAATTCTATGGTGAAGAATTTGGAGAGGCAAAAAGAAGAAGAGGTACGCTGTTTGAAACTTTTGGGAGATGATTATATCAACTGTGGAAGTAAGATCATCTGTGGAACATGTTTAGTGCCGATTCAGAATTGAAACTTTTTGTCGTTAGATGTGAGCACACTGTTCTCACTTCGCTGAATGTTGATTTTGTGAGCTTTGCGTTGACAATGTTCGGCATTCATGCGGATGAATACGGCCTTGTGTGATGGCCTGTTGAAACGTTCAGAATTTCATATCAGCCACTTGAAATTAATTTATGTTGCTAGTACGCTGCTCTGATGTCGAGCGGTGGTACCTCTGCACACTCTAAGCGTGGACCGCGTAAAAAGAATATCTACGATGACGAGTAAGTTCATAGTTCAATATCTCTTATTATCGAAAATTATGCGGGTGATGAATTCGTATTGGTGTGCACCTAGGTGTAAACCGAGAATCTTGAATTGCGACCGATTGACTTCGGCGATCTGTTGATGATAGCCGTAAATGCTTGAGAAATCGTTTGATTGTTGATTCTATAATACCAAAAATGCTTACCGAGTATAATGAAGTATTTTCATGATCATCCACCGAACCTGATGCGTGCGCTGTTATCAATATCGTTTAACAAAATAAACCCCCATCATCGTTGTTGTAGGTATCTGGAGAAGGACTCCGATGGCGATGACGAACTGGCTTACCAACCGGCACCGGAGAGTCCAACGGGAGCAAAAGTCCCTGGAAAAGAAGACAACGATGAGGAAGAGGATCCTTTAGATGCTTTTATGGCAGGTGTTGAGAAACAGGTGAGAAGATGTTGCTCATTTGGTTGTCTTAGTATTAGATATCTGCTAATTTCCCATAGCAAGTCTCAAGTCGGTTTACACTTTCAGCTGACTTCTACTTAAGATTATGTTTCGGTTCAAGATCCACCAAATCTTGTTCCGAATACAATGTGGAATGCACATCAGCGAGTCTTTTCTTCAGTTTTTTTCTAATGGATCAAGTACTAATCTGTGCTCTCTCTTCGTTGTCATTCTGTTAGCGACAAGCGGTAAAGTATTTAGTTACCGAAAAGAGATTAAATTACCGTTAGATGATTGCAATTGGAGGTAGTTGAATGCTCAGTTACTTGAATGTTTAAACTCACAATCAGTGATGAGTCCGTTTCTCGTGCAATCAGACAAGCTGTTATGTTCATTATAAGGAAGTGCCTAAGCCTTAAGCTTTTTATTTATTTCTTCGTATGGAATATTTAATTCGTTGCGTATGAAAGAATTTTCTTTTATTAAAAACTGATTTCACAATTCGTGTGGAAACTTGTTATTTAAGGCACGAGAAGATAAAATAGCGAGCGTAAAGAAGGATCAAGAGCGATCAGCTCAAGTAGAAAGTGGTATTGAAACAGACGAGGATAAGAAGAAAGGATTAGGGCGGACGGATATTGATGATGAGGACATGCAGGAATCGTATTTCAAGTTAGTTATTTACGAGTAGCCAGCCTTTTATGCGAAGTTCAAAGCATACAAAAAAAAGATAAAAACTTCACCCTACTGTTGGACGATTGAAAGTGCAAACGGTTGAATGCTTACTTGCTCATATCATATTGAATTTAAAATTTTGAATGATCATTGCCAAAGCTGTGCGTTTTACTATCGTCCCGGTTCATTGCGTAAGCAGTAACTCATTTTTTTCCATATCGTATCTCATTCAAAAGTAAGCCCGCGTAGATGACGAAAGTGGAAATATTCTAAGTAAGTTCATGAATAATGGTAATAGTTTATAATTTTTAGATTTTTGGAAGAACGAAAAGCGAATGCGCCAGAAGAAGAGGAGATTTATGAGTATGATGAAGATGGAAATATTATTTGGACTTGGAAGAAGGTTATTGACCCATTGACAGCAATCGATCATTCGTCTATTCAGTATGCACCGTTCAACAAAAATTTCTATCAAGAACACGAGCAGATTAAGTTAGTTCTTTTCGTTATTTAATTTCTGTTATTACCATACGTCATGAATGATATTGTGAATTACTGAATCAGTAACAATTTCATACAATTAATTTTTGTGTTGGCATGAAATTAGATTCAATCGTTAATATCAGCAGATTGATTTCCTGGCGTTGATAAACAGACGATTTCTCTTATTCCGTTTTCGTTTTTCTATCCTTGCTTGTATTTCAATGCTATCATGTACCTTTTTCGTTAATTTGCTGAAGTTATCTGTTCATTCTATCCATATTTTGAAGAATCAATAGACTGAAGGGAGAATTGAGTATGAGAGGATTTGAGGGATGTATAGTCGAGCATGTTCAGGGATCGGTATTGTGTTTTGATAGAATAAATGAGTGTGAAATTGTTGGTCAGTGGGAAAGGCAGTGATGAATGGTCAGTATTTGTCAATTTAAGAGCGATGAGTGCACTAAAAGTATTCGAGATTCGGAACCGGTTGAATCTAAAAGTTGCTGGTTTGAATCCACCAAAACCAGTCTCGGCTTTCGCACATTTTGGTTTCGATGAAGCGCTGATGAATGTGATTCGCAAGTCTGAATATGAACATCCAACGGCCATACAAGCACAGGTTTTTATTCGGTCATATTCTCGATCCTGTTCCGTACTGTAATTGCGTTATGTGATTCAAACAAAATTTTGTTGAGATGACATACTTGAATGCATCAACGAATATGATTCGTGTTTCATTCAACTGAAAAGTGGCCAGTTGATNCTTAATAGATGTTGTTCCTTCTTAGCAGAGATGGACAAATCAATATTGACGCCCATCAAAAAATATTGTCGGCCTTTCGATACTGTCAGTCAGTGTTCGGCTTTTATCGATATATACACATCTTCGCGAACACAACTGAATCTTAATCATTTGTTTGTTCATCTAATTGACGGATGAAATCCAACGGCATCATGTCAGAAAAGCGCTGCCTACTGTCAGTTTTGATACCGTTGTTTCAGTTATGAATTTCAGTCGATTCCGGCAGCGCTAAGCGGGCGTGATGTGTTGGGTATAGCTAAAACCGGAAGCGGTAAGACAGTCGCTTACTTATGGCCTGCAATTGTACACATTATGGATCAGCCGACGCTTGAACCGGGTGACGGGCCGATTGCTCTTATCGTTGTTCCGACCAGGGAGTTAGCGATACAGGTATTTCGATGATTTTTTACGTGTTCTATTATTGCTGGTTTCTTTGCCTGTGTTTTTTTTAATGCGCAGATTGAGTGTTTCTACTGTTGAGAATCAAGATTTGAATGATCGAATTCACTGCTATATTTGAATTGCATGTAATATTCGCAATTTTGCATTTTGTGCGAGTGTTTTGATCAAATTCCTAGATTATTTCACAAGCTCAAATTTTTAGATGAAACTTTCCTTTCCAGGTGTATCAAGAGGCGAAACGTTTTTGCAAAGTTTATAATATAGCAGTGATTTGTGCATATGGTGGAGGGAGTAAATGGGAGCAACAGAATGCACTCAAAGAAGGTGGTGAACTTGTAGTTGCCACTCCGGTTAGCGTTTGTTCTGATCCACCAGTTTTTGCATTGAGCGAATTTTGACTTTACATACGCTTGTGCTCAGAATTGGATTATTTTAATGAAATTGTTTTTAAAGGGTCGTATAATTGATCTTGTCAAAATCGAAGCAACCAATTTCAATCGTGTAACATTTTTGGTTTTCGATGAAGCCGATCGAATGTTCGATATGGGATTTGGTATGCGTTCTTATTCCGTTCATTATTCGTCACTCTTCAGTCCGAATTCCTTTCTTCAATTTTTATTGAATTCGAAACATTCTGAATCATGAAAGAAAGTAAAGTAATGAATATATCGATGGTGCCTTGAAATAAAATGAAATATTTCAATGTTGTTGAAGCGATCGTGTAGATATAATGCGAGTGGTTTTAAGAGGCACAAGTGAAGTCGATATCAGATCACATTCGGCCTGATCGACAATGTTTAATGTTCAGTGCAACATTTAAGTCGAAAGTTGAACGATTAGCGCGCGATGCACTCGTCGATCCTGTTCGAATCGTGCAAGGTGAAGTGGGTGAGGTGAGTGGCGTTTTTCCAGAAGTGCACTTATTCAGTATTTCATCAGCGTGACCTTCGTTCATTTTCCTGATTAGCCATTCGTTCAGAAATACAAATTTATTCTCTCTCACATGCTCATTTACATTTATGCATTCGACCTGTCAGTGTTTTTACATGTCAGTTGTTGATAGTAGCGAATGTTTCTTGCGATCAGATTAAAAGGTTAATCAGTGTATTAGCTTACTGCTTCATTGATAATATCTATCTTGCTGATGGTTAAGGCGAATGAAGATGTTGTACAAATAGTTGAAGTAGTACCGAACGTTGATGCAAAATGGCGATGGCTTCTACAACAGCTCGTTCAGTTTTTGTCAAGTAAGTTCTTCATTTGCGCAACGACTTCTATTTTAATCGAAGCAGATTTCGTGGATACACTCGAATCGATTCATCAGTAGTGAACGGCTGTTTAGATCTCATAGGAGCTCTGCTTATGTGATTGCATTTGATAATCGCTCTCGGAAGATGTGCTTTCAGCCAATAATTTTATGCGCACGCTAGTAGTGATGTTCGAAAAGTCACTGACTTAGGACGTGCGATTGAATGAAAGTTGTTTTTTAGACGGAAAAGTTTTGATATTCGTGACGAGAAAGCAAAACGCTGAAGAAGTGGCACAGCGTTTACGAACGAAAGACTTCTCGTTGGTGCTACTGCACGGTGATATGTTACAAGTGGAAAGGAATGAGAAATTATTAGCGTTTAGAAAGAAGACTGCCCTCATGGTTGCTACTGATGTTGCAGGTTCATACTTTTTAAAATGTTTTCCATTCTATCCGTATCTTCAACAATTCTGTGATGATTTTTACATTACCGTGATGGCGGTCGTTATAATGTTCCACGAAAAAGTGACTCTAACAATCCGTTATGATGTAAGCGTCGTGTTGAGGCACTTTAAAAAACGTTCAGTTTGTTTTCAGCTCGTGGTTTGGATATACCTGAAATACGGACGGTGATAAATTTTGATTTGGCAAGAGATATTGATACGCATGTGCATAGGATTGGAAGAACTGGTCGAGCGGGTTGGTGCTTCTGTTTTGCGGTTGTTTTATTTAAGATCAGTAATTCATATGAGCCGATAAGTCAGCGTGTTCTTTACGTTGTAGGTGAGAAGGGTTTCGCGTACACACTGGTAACTGAAGCAGATAAAGAAATGGCTGGGCATTTGGTTCGGAATTTGGAAAGTGTCAATCAGCAAGTACCGGACGCACTACTCCAACTCGCACTCAAGTCATCGTGGTTCAGAAGTAGTCGAGGGAGCGGACCACAAGCTGGTGGTCCTAAACGACTTGGTTTGGGATATAAGCCGAGAACAAGGCCTGGAATCGGAGTAGTTGAGTCAGGTTCCTAATTTTTCTGCCGTTCTTCAGTGTTTTGATGACGTTATCTTGAAACGATTCGTTCATAACAGTGGCACTGGCTCGAATTCTTAATTTTCTATTAGTAGTTTTTAAGCTGTCACAATTTTTTGGTTTCAGTAAATTTTTTGACATCGAGTTATATGTATGATTCCATTTATTGTTAGGTGGTGGTCAGACCAAAGAAACAGCCAAAGCGTTAGCTTGTGAAGGGCGGAGTGAACCGAAGAAACGTGGTCCACTGGATGTAGCGAAATCGGCCGATGGTTCAACAAATCGGTTAAAAGCCATGAAAGCTGCTTATAAGGTTACTATTTTGCTAATCCGCATCTCACCGGACAAATTTATTTCCGCAATAAATTGTTTCAAATCTCCTGATGTTTTCATAGATACGATGATTATTACGTAAGAATAACGGTCCTTTGTAAAATTTTAGACCTGTTTGAAGACTTCTTTCAAAGCATCGTCAAATGACGAATGGGCTGCGAGCAGATCTGCTCCAACCGACCCAACACCCGAATGGAAGCGAAAACTTGAAGAGGCAGCTGCTGCGATTCAATCTGAAATTGCGCATACACCTTCGAATGATAACGACAATACTAACCATAGCAGCAAGAATGCATACATCTCCAACTCGAGTTCGTTTCTTATGAGTTGTCGCACTTTTCATTTAATATCCTTCCCATAAAATTAATTTCCACTTTCCTCATTTTGATCATCTTGCTGAAATATAATTACCTGCATTTGTTTGTTCTCGCTGTTCATCGAAAAGAATTATCTTTCTGCATTTTATCTTTTTGTGGAATACACGAAACTCTGTTGTAGATAGTCAGCAGCAATGGGACTCGCAGGGAGGACCAACGTTCGGAAGTAAGAAGCGATCTCGTTGGCAGTGATCTATCTCATTTAATTTCGTTTGTAAGTAATTGAACCTCACCTGAAAATGTTGTTCCACTCATTTTCATTGTTTAGTATTTGCAATATCCGTATTCATTATTGTATATGTTTTTGATTTGTCACGATTGAATGCTCTACATTACCCGAAGTTCACCTCTGCCTCGAGGCTTACCAGCAGTAACTTCCTATCATGTTACGGAGCAGAAGTAAAATTAATGGCTTACTTTGGAAAGCCAGGTTCACTGTGTTTACACATCACTGGCGTTTATTTTCCGTGACAGCGAATTGCTCGACCTATTTCGTTGCTCAGATTTTCATATTGATATTTCCGATTCCATTAGTTCTTTTCGTATTGATTGAACACTGCAGATGTAGGTGCCGTCGAACTAAACGCACCCTGTTAATTGAAGCACGAACCTATTGATTTCCATTCTTTGACCAGTTCTGGGCTGAGAGCCTCTAGCTTGAGCGATTAAACTGAAGTGTTCAGAAAGTAGGATGCAGTGCAAATATTCAACTGTTCCAGATATTCGTTTTATTGTGCTATAAAAATTTCGTTTATTTTACACTTTTGAATCTTTGTTATTGGTAGCATTACCTTTGTTGCAATATTAAATATGTGAAAAATAAATAAATATGTTCAACTAAATGGATATGCTGTCACCATGTTGTGATCAATTTAGAATTGAGTAAGAGGAAAGTGATGTTCACTCATAATAAACTTGAAAGCAATTCTCGGCAAGATGCATTCTCACAAAACGTATTGAATGAAACAGTTTCAATGTAATGAACAAATAATGAGACATGGTGGTCTTCTGAAGACATTTATGAATTGGGCTTTTAGTTTTGTTTTAATTCTCATGCGCTGCAAAATGACTCAAATTTCATATGCAAGAAACTGCTGCGGCCATCGTTCATGGTGCCGACAGTGCCTTGTTCGATTCGTTTTTGCGTCTGGCTCTGAACAAATTTGCATGATCGCTGCAGGTACGGAGCTGTGCACAGCCACCTGCGATTCTTCAGCTACTAGATGTTCTAGAAATGTTAATAGACGCAGGTGTTTAGTGTATTTGTCCGTTTGGCGGTTTGTCCTGGTGTGTGTAAATTGTTCGAGGCAATATGGTGGGGTTGGTAACAGAAGCCAAATTGCACTTTTGAAGCGACGCGGTCAGGTAGAGCACAGAGAAAAGGAGATCCAACAGGGTGAATTAATTCATCGATGAGGAACATGAATTTGACGTATTTCAAGGCTACACCTGACCTGAATGTGTACATGAGGTGTCATTGGGAAGAGAAATAAATTTTCCACGTTCAGACAAAGACTGGCTACAAGAATTGGCTCATTTCTGGAGCAGTAAAAGTTTAACCAGGGAAGTTTCAATCAAATAAAAGTGATGTGATCAATTGAAGTGGAAAAAGTGTCGGAAGAGAGATTTGATCGGTCAATGCCAAACAATCCATTGGGAAGAAAATTGAATTCTCTACGAGCACAGAAGGTTTCAGGGAAATTCATCGTTTAGTTTTCGAGATTGTAAATTAAATTGAACCTTTAATAGGAAAAATAATACGTTTGCAAGCGATTTAAATGGAAAAGTGCTAGAACAAAAATTTGATCGGTCAATGCCAAGTAGTCCATTGGAAAGAAAGTTGAATTTTCTACAAGCACAGAAGGTTTCAGGAAAATTCATCGTTTAGTTTTCGAAATTGTAACTTACGTGAAGAGATGGAGCTCATTTCTTGAAGGTTTTTCAAATAGCGCAATCGTGCTCGTTTGAATTTGATGTATCACTACAAAACGATCTGTATATTGCTGTGGTGTTAATAGGGTTACCAAGTCCTTACATGTCGCTGATCTGCTGATATTGCTAACCTCTCCTACACGTTGATTGATACAGGTATAATGTATCCAACGATAGTAGTATCAACAGGTTTGAATGAATACGGTAATCAGCCTGGCCCACATCTGTGGCAACCAATGGAAGCAGTACTTCCGGGATTGAATGAATACAGTAATTAGCCACGCNGAAACCTCCTATATTCGACACAATCTAATTCATTCCTCCAGACTTGTTTTACTACGCTTTAAGATATGTGTGACGATCTTCTCATGAAATGTCCCTCAATCTATGATTTGTTATTTCAGTCATAATTTGCTATATCATTAGCAGGAAACCTTCTGTGCTTGTAGAGAATTCAATTCTCTTTCCAATCGACTACTTGGCATTGACCGATCAAATCTCTGTTCCGACACATTTTCCACTTCAATTGATCACATCACTTTTATTTGATTGAAACTTCCCTGGTTAAACTTTTACTGCTCCAGAAATGAGCCAATTCTTGTAGCCAGTCTTTGTCTGAACGTGGAAAATTTATTTCTCTTCCCAATGACACCTCATGTACACATTCAGGTCAGGTGTAGCCTTGAAATACGTCAAATTCATGTTCCTCATCGATGAATTAATTCACCCTGTTGAATCTCTTTTTCTCTGTGCTCTACCTGACCGCATCGCTTCAAAAGTGCAATTTGGCTTCTGTTACCAACTCCGGCGATATCTGCAAATCTCGATTATTTATTGGGATTTGTATCAGGTTTAGGGTGGGTTTAATGTTTGTCTGATGTATTGATTCGTAAGTGTCGCCTCCAAGCGAGGACAATGGGGTTCCCGGTGCCTGGCCACCGGGCTGCATCAAGATCCACGGCTTGCCGATTTCGGCCAGGCCTTGCTTAGGCGGGCCAACACAAGCTAACATGAGAAATACGTTAAAATAATTGTCGTCTGAGAGAGGAAATTGGTATAATTTGTTTTATTGTTGATGTTTTTGATCGGTACATATATTCGTTTGAAATTTACTCTATGTGAGGTCTTCGGGGTTTTATGCGCTCGCCCAGTATTGGGCGGTTATTGAATTGCGTAAATATGAAACCGTTTTGATTAGCAGTTTCGCGATTAGTCGTTCGAATGGTCGTCATGTTTTTCGTTGTATACTACGTATGGTTGACGGCAACTTCAGTTGCTGACACTTTCAGAATCATCAGACAATGACGTTTTTCCACTTGGTCAATTGCGTTGCGTTAGCATATGCACCGTTCTTCATTGTCTATAAGTACTCGGGTCTGTCTGAGTACAGTTCAGCGTGGAAGTGTGCTCAAGCAGCTCTTGTTTATTTGCTCACGCAGCTCGGCAAAATGCTTGTTTTAGCGACATTCTTTCCGGCAAGTGACGTCGATGGTTTCGACTTGGTGCCGGTTCGTATTTTCATCGTTTTTTTTTATTCTGTGCATCTGCATCGTTTCGGAAAGCATGACCATGCTGCACCGTCTTCTGATCTGTTCGGATCTACTGACCATGTGAAAATGGAAGCGTACAAAACAGCTAGGTGTTTCCAAGAAGGTGCTTTCTATAATACAAAATTCGAATAAAAAGAGCCGATATAAAGTATGTTGTTCCATTAAGGAATTAATGAAGAATAGTGCTGACATATTTGATGTCATCGGTTTGCATGTGGTGATAACGTACCTAATGGCTGGTAAAAGTGAGGTACGATTCTTGACTGCCGGCCTTGGATGGGCATTTGCGCACAGGTAACTTTTATTCGTTGTTCACTAGCCTACATAAATATTCCACTTTCACCTCGACCCATAAATTTTATCTTTGATCTCATTATTGTTGTTAAAATGGGAAAAGTGTTTACGTCAAATTGCATCCTCTGTATCACAGAAGAATACTCGGTGTTGTGTGATTTTCAACAATTTGTAGGGAAAATTTTATTCAAATCCCCAGCCATTGCTTTGAAGTCTGCTGGCGTATTTATTGATCAGTTCGTTAGCAGTTTATCTTGATTAAATTAAATTTTATTGTTGAAGTGTTGCGAGTCGTCTGGTAGGATTCTGGGTTGGCGCACGTGCTACTGCATTCCACTGGAAATTCATACAGATGGCGCTTGAGTCGAATGTTGATCTCGTTTTCTACATTGGTTTGTGTTCAGTTTTCTTCAGTAATCACTCATGTATATTCGTATAACATTCCTTTATGAAATCGTTTCTCGAGGGTAAATCGCTAGCTGTCATGGTCACGTATGTTTTTGGGAAAACAGCTGCTCTGCTTTTTTACGCATCATTCAGGTGTGTTCTCTGATAAAATGCACTCATTGAGCAATAAGTGAAGTGGAATTCGTGAATACTTTCAGCAATGTCCGCTTTGGTATGGTTATTTTCACGTAACGATCTGCAAGCAGCCATGAAGCGTGTTGTCGTTTTACTGCTCACATTCTGTGTATTCCATGTGTTTGTTTATCAGTAAGTTTTTTTGTAATTGCTTTTGTGGTTACGTTTGACGAGTGTTTTCGATGTTCATGTTCAGTTTTACGACGATGCAGAATTCGAATTTGGTGAAGAATACATGGGTAAAAGTTAATTTGTAGAGCCGGAATGGTTTACGTTGGACTACGATCGTGGCTGTTGTTATTCGTAAAGGCGGCGTTAACGACTGGCATTGGTGCGTCTACATTGGTGTGTTATTCGAGCTTAGGCACACATTCATCTCAGCATAGAAATTAAGTGGATCTCGATTTCGTATTCACAATGAATTATCGTATGACTGTTATCATTTTCAGTCTAGTGAAGTAGAATTATTACTATTTTGAGTGGAGTATTTATAATTGCAAAATGCTTCAGTTGTTGTCATGTTATCAAAACAATGCTGAAAGCGTTCATCCATAGTATGAGTTGGTCAAAGTTTGCTGAATTATTATTGTTAAATCGATCTTCTACAAAATTAGTTGTTATTTTGGAGAGATGTGTTTTCTCATCTGTGTATATATGCGTTTTGAAATTATTTATTTATGAATCCCACTGTCGGTGGTTCAGTGCATTTGTGCAGATTTTTCCAGGTCATATGGAAATGCATTCTTAAGTATAGTGCACTTTATTATCACTTTCCGTTGTTATAAAGAACTTTTTTTATTAATTAAGGCTTGAGTGCAAAACCCAATTTGGTTGGTAGAAAATTATCAGGAAATGATATCAAAATGTTTTAAATTGATGTTTCGAAGCCCTTTCCTGTAACCTAACTGATATGTGCTTTGATATTCGCTAGCGAGTTGTCATCTTCGAGTCGCATATTTCCTCTCTTGTCTACCGAATTCATTTCAATCAACGATCGTTTGACAAAGTTTGATATTTTCAAGAAAACCGTTCAAATTGCTGTTGTTTCTTGCTGATTGAACGCACATACTAGCATCATCAGATAAAAGATGATTCCGAATATATTATGCCTTCTATTTCACCCTTACTCATTGATCAAAGCAGCAACAGACAGGTTACTTGCATGCCACAGGAATTGTGCATATCAAGAAAGAAATTCGAATGGCGAGCATATACCAGATAAAAAATGATCACATTCTAATGTAATAGTTATGATTACGACAGTTACACTGTAATAGTTTTTGTTGCGTACACTTCTGAATTCGACACGGTTGTGATCAGCGATTAATTTATTTTTGTTGTTATTTATCATCATTATGTTGTTGTCGTATTTGTGGTGATGTGCTTATGTTCGCAAATGAACCATACAACATCATTTAATGAATCGACCTCGCCAAAATGCAACTTATATTTTCGTAAGCATTTTTAACTTTATGGACTTCATTTATAGCAGTGTTCATGGTACAAGTGGAATTTTGTATTAATCTATAAACATATATGGAGAGATTGACATGAATCAGTTGTGCGTATCATTGTAGGTCGTCTCATTCCAGTACGTTCTAACTCTACTAAGATCCAGACAGCCGGCGCCAATAGTGGTTGGACAAGATATCGGTTCTGAGATGAGTATTCCTGAAACATTTCCGGTTAGCGCAGTGAAATTAGTGGTGCTTTATCAATATAATAGGTGTTTTCGCTTATGATATGATAAACTGGAAAGTGTTTTTGATGTTATGATGGGGTTGTGGTTACAATCAGGATTGATGTTTGAATGTTGTGAGAAGTACAATGCGATCGTGATCTGATGAAGTTTAGCGAATTAATTCTGGAGTTTACCTGCAACACACGCAGTCATAAAACACGAGAATATTCCTGCGATAAGTGCTCTCACGACAACTTTCGCGAAAATTGACTTCCTTTTAGGACACATCGCTGATAGAATACCTATAACAAATAAGATCGTTTTGATTAGTGTGCTCTATATTCATATCATCCGTTGATATTTTCACTAGTCTGAATTACTGATCCTGCAATTTTAACTTCGTTTAATAACTTTAACTTCATCGTTTAATCCTGGACAAAATATATTTTATATCCAGTGATTGTCTCTGTGGCACTAGCACAATACGAATGAAGTTGAAATTCGGTGCTGCATAAAATCGCAAAACCTTTCATCCCACTGTGAATTGTGAGATTGATACAGGTTTTGTCTGGGAGATGCGTTCATCTCCGGTAAATGAGAGACCTCGCAGACTGATTGGAGATGATCACATTTAAATTATCCATACGGATCTGCATAAGTTTCGAAATGGAGTGGTAGACTGAATTTCACGAGTCTCACTACAGCAAGCACTTTAAGTTTAGAAAGTACGAAGAATCGCGTGAAGTTTGCTTCCTTTTTGTGCTTTGTAAATGGACAAATGACTGACCCATCTGACTTCCGATCATCGAAATGTTTGAGAATCCGCACAGAGCGTACGTTGCGATCATTTGCGCTCGTTTCTGGAATGGAGCAATTTACATGTGACCATTTCGGTAATTACCGATACATCCAAAAGATCAACATTTCGTTCTACAGTGCATTCAAACAATCTCATGAATACCCTCCTGCTTGACTCAATTATGTATCGTCTACACACCCGGAAAATATCCAGCCCTCTTTGAAAAAAAAACTAGTTTGACAAAATGGTATCAATATGTTCATTAGTTGGACTCATTGGAAAGATCAATCTGTACAAACGAGATCGTAATCAGAGTCTCACCACAGATTCTGCGAAGATATGTTTCAGTAAAAGAAAGTAATGAAATGCATACACCAGGCAGTGTTCCGTCATGCATCATAGTATATAGATGTTGATATGCGATAAATTCATTTAGCACTGTCTTCATTCCCATCAACTCAGCAACCAGTAAAGTTTCAGCCAGAGCTTTCTGAATTTCATTTGATCACTTTGATCAATTATTGATTACGAAGATTGGTCTGTCATCCCGCTCCCCGTCACCAACGAATCACGGAATATCTGTCGAAATCACGCGTAACATCTCCAAAAATTCTTTTTCAAACTCTCAATTGAACACAAAACAAAAGCAGATAAATGATCGGTTTGAGAAACACTAATACAGGTGCAATATTGAATCGAGGGCTGAAACAAGAACGAGTGTTACGTACTGCTGGATCCGGCTGATCAGATGCACCCATCATGAATGCAAACGGGAAGAAGCAGTAGCCGAGAATTTTCTGAAATAACTTCTGATATTAACAAGGATCATCTTCATTGTAAGTTAAAACGTTTAAATGAGTGGAAATTCACGAGCACATAGAATAATCCACATTAGTATGGAAACTAACATTGAAGGTAAGATCTGGAANATCAACCAAAGAGCCAAAAAATTGCACAACTGAATTGAGCAAGGCGAGTAGTGCAATGAACACTATCAAATTTGCACCGATTGCCCAAACGAATTTCGACGAATGGCATGCGCCTTCGCACATACAATGCAGAACATTGGCCGATTCTCTGAAATCAATTTATTGCGGAGGGAATATCAACGAATTTCAAAAATACTTATTGCAATATAAAAAAGCAATTCGAATGAAGAAGTTGCATCCATGAAGATTGTTGAAATTCAGCAAAGTCTTGTAAAAGAATATATCATTCGTATGCACGTCATCTTTTGAATCAAAATATCGCATCGCTTCAAAACGACGGTCTCAATGTGATCGTCTTTCAATCGTTCATTGTTGAAAATGAAATCCTGCTGGTAGTAGGCGTAGAGCGGGGATATACAAAGATGTAAAATGGTCAGTACCTGACTGCAAATTTAAACGATGCGATATCCTTCTGCCTCGACACCTGAATTTCTGGATACATCAGCTTGGAAACAGCCAACGAAACTGCGGCGGACATCACAGTTGCGGAAAGCAGATACGTGGGACAAGCCTGTAAATAATGCAGATTGTAAATGGGATAGAGCAGTTCAATGTTTAAATCGACAAAAACAGCAAGTATCAAATGGAGAATCTTCAATCATTTAATCGCTGATTATGATTGGTATGATTGACTTGAAATTGTTTGATTAACGTCATGATGAAATTTCGCAACCTCGATGGGTGGGTATACATCGAGTTAGTGGTAAAGGTTCGACAAACGAATGTTCTGGACTGCGTTGAGTCAGATTTGGGCTTAACTTTAATCTGACCATTGGGTTGAGACTCACACTTGTCCTTATCCTTACGCTATCACTCAAGCTGAAGGTCGAGACAGTAATGTGTTCAACAATATTCACAGTTTTTGTTACCTAGTTTCGGCCTCTCGTAGAGAAGTGAATATCGAAATGTGATTGATGTTTGCACGAATCCAGATGTTTGATCTAATGAACATTCATCCTAATGAATATCATTGGAGTGAAATGTTTCATTTGAGGAAACGTCAAGGAATCTGGCATGGTTCTATGAAGAATAAGACATACCCCAAACGACATATACACCGAGAAAAGAGAGCCAGCGATACACGCGAATCCAGCCGTCATCACCGCATGAATCTCACTCTCAGTCATTGTTTTCAGTGCTGGTTCTATCAAAATAGCTGCTTCAGTCTGCAAATGTAGAAGAATCTTTAGATGAAACATCCACCTCACCCGAAACTGTTTCAACAAAACGCCATCAAGAAATTACCAAATAGATCGAGGTAAGGCTCAAGAATGCATATTTACCTGTCCCAGAAATATGCAAGCAGCTGCATTTAGACTCTCGGCAGCAGTGGTACCAACTGTGTATTGCATAAGCCAGGCGATTCTTGTGAGAACAGCCTCGATAATACCCAGATAGTATAGCACACTCACTATAGCACCGAAATAGATGATAATTTGCAAGCTCTGAAGTGGAACCATTTTAGTCACAACAATGCTACGAAATTCATCATAAATGATGAAATCGATACTGATGCTGACACATTTATATTCAACGATCACAGCTACCAGTTGTGGAATGTCCGATTATTTGTATTCAACGATCACAGCTACCAGTTGTGGAATGCAGCGTTGAACAAACAATAACTAACACTGAAAATGAACACCGAAGCCAGTCCGCAAATCTCGGGAGGCGCCGAAACGAATCCGTATGTCTTTGCAGTACCCACCAAGGCATAGTCAAGAAATGTTACAACCTGAAAACTCACTGGCATCTTTGTCCATCGCGCACGAAGAGTTCTTCATCAATGTTTTCCAAAATTAGGCAAGTTCCCCTCCATGGACTGAATGCTTCGTAAGCGAGTATCTTCGAACATAATTGAAAGGGCTCACCGTGTGACCCGTTGAATACGAGTGTTTCGGCGTTTATTTTGTAATAACAATGTCTTATATTATCGAAACACAAAGTATTCATATCATACAAACACAAAGGGAGGAGATCCTCCAAGTGAGATATGCGGAAGTTACATTTCATCATCCGAATCGATAGTGCATTACATCCGTGTACATCTTACACATGTACAGCTAACGCACAGATTTAAAGGTTGCATTATATATCACTTTGGTGTCCCTCACGAATCGCCTCTTTCGCACTCGGTCACGACAGAGTGCTTATTGCAGTTGATATATCTGATCAACGAGATTCACATCTTGACGGAAATAAAGAAGTAAGTACCTGCTCACTGAACCATCTGAATGCAGCATGTCCAGCCGGCCAACGCAGAACAAGGAATCCAACAAGGAACTGCAATATTATTGCACATATCACCGGTCGCCATTTCACCTGAATAAACGTGTTTATGAGATCGAAGTTGTGCTGGCAATTACTCGAACGGGCATTACAGCAAGAACTGTTGCCGAGAACAACCGATTTTTCGAATTAGCTCCCAAGATGGTGGCTGACCGTACAACTCAATCTGTGATCATTTTGTGCCCATTCTGATCTCGGCTGAATGGCATTCTCCGGTTGAAACTTGAAGCCTATGTTCTTGATGTCTTCGAGAATTCCGTGAAGATTGCGTGTGCCCTTTTCCTGACAGTTCGCACTATTTCACGAGTCATGTTGACTCCAATCTGATGATCGTTGAAAATTTGATCGTTGATGTTTGAAGAGACTAACAGATGTGGTCTTCCGGATTACCAGTCAACCACTAAATCAAGAATGATAATAATCATACAAATGGCAGTAAATTTCACAGCACCACTGCTTCATTCCTACGTCATTAACTTTTGGAGAATTCGACTTCGGCACTGATCTTTGGATAGCAGCTATGAAGCTGATGATGGTGATAGTAGCGAATTCATGTCAGATTGGAGCTGTCCAGATGAACCAATACTGAGGTTTGAGGGAAGTTATGAAAAGTTTCAAAAGGGAGCATACTTCTAGTTTTGCAGCAAGAGGTCTCGAACAATAACGTTGAATGATCTTCGGTTTCAATCAGTTCAACTCAAAAATGATTTTGGTCTGTTGTCTAATCATACCAATGATTTTTCAAGGATTTTGTTGACGATTTCGATTATTCTTGTTGATCGGCAATGTTGTTTTTGTTGATTCCAATTCGAAAACTTTCGTTACTTGACAAAATTTATACGATAGTTGGGACGGATCGTTACCACTTTTATTTGCTCAAATCTCTATCAGAATTACAGTTTATTCAGCTAAAAGGTGCTCATTAGAGTTGTGTGATCAAAATGACCCCACTGTGCGTTCAGCGAGAACCAATCAACCAATTCCAATATGAAGTCGATTGGTGTATTGTTACGAGCTGCTTAAAATGTGCCTCAAAATGTTGAGCTGCATAACCAAATGAAAATGATTCCGTGAATTGGCTGTGCAAAGGATTTCAATTATCACTGAATCCCGTCCATGAATTGAACACATCTTCACGATCGGTTTCAATCCAATGATGATAACATAACAATTATATTTGTCAGACGCCAAAGTGATTGCTCCACTCAAAACGACTATACACAAATTCAGAAAAATACCTTAGCTGGATTAGCTGAAAACAGAAATCCCAGCACAATGTACATTATAAAACCAAGGAGACTGCGTAAACGAATTCGCGAATCAGCGGAATCGATTATCACCCATATCACGAATGCAGCAATAAGAATTGCTAGTGCACCACTGCAAAATTAATTTCGTCGGAGTGAAAATACAATTGGTTATAATTATAGGTATTTTTTCGAAATTTATCGCACAAGTGGACAGATTCTGAAAGTACAATGGATCGCAAAACTTACAGTTTGACGATGTGAATGCCGCACAGATCAATATTCCAAATGTGACCCATGACTTCAGCAAATGGTACCAATTTAGGCTGCATACGAATGAGCCACTTTTTGATCACCAAAAAATACAAGAAGCCAAAATAAGTTAATAACATCAGAACGAGAAGTGCCAGTGAAAGGTGGATATCACGTACGAATGTGTAGATAGCATAAGCATGGAACCCAATTATCAGTGTCACTGCTGTCACTAATTTGATTATTCTGAAAAGAGATGAAAGCTAACAAGATTCGGTGATTATTACACCGAATTGAAACTGTACGATAGCTCGTGAACTCCTGTTCTATGAGATGTAGAAAAAGGAGCGATTAGAATATGATTTGGGAATGATGTATTTACTTTATTCACTTACCTGGATTACCTGGATCGGCCAGGCTATCAAACGTTTATAACGTTGCTGGCCACAATGCTCACGTTTCCGTGCACATTGTTTTAGCCTCAATTTACGCCACCCCGCTGGCTAGGCGAGCAGGCCAACCGAACAAAACCGAGTAAATAATTAGTCGCCGTGAATACTTTGCATAATTAAACGCAGTCAAATACCAATTCAATAAATAATCATTACTCTAATAAAATAAACATTCCGCCGATCGCTCACTGCGATTGACGAAACAACCACTCGATGTCCAAGTAATAGTTGATAAAAGTTTTTCATGTTTTTGGAGTGATACTTGCTGTTAGGAACAACAACGTTTGGAACTTTGTAGTTGAGGTTACCAAAATAAGTGGAGTTCTGTGATGCCTTCTTTTCAGTGAATGAGTATCGAACGCTTTAACTAAAAAGTTGCGCTTTTGAATTTTGATTTCGATCTGAATTCTGATAATGAATTGTTTCACTTACCGTCCGTATTGGTTACAAAATTCATAATACTTTGATTGCATGCGCAATAAGCATGTTTCTTTTCCATTATATTCGTCCATTACCGTTTATTTCTTCGGTTCCTCGATACAAAAAACTTTACTGCAATTTTTTGTCGAACTTTAGATCGATGTAATTTTCTGAATACGCGCGAATTCTGTGACTACGCGGTAGATCGGAGCGAACCCTCCAAGAAAATTGGACATAATTTACTGATTTGTTTTAATCGGAACTTGTCTCTTCAGAGGGACTGTCACGATTGGAACACCGAAAAATGCAACTGAAGCAATGCACGATTGGGATGCTTGTGCGTGAACAAGTTAACAAACAGGGCGAACAACGTGCACATCAACAAATTGTTCACAAATATTTGAATTAGAGAAAAAAGTTTATGGCTTCTAGTTAAATTCGATATTGAAACGTTTTGATTGTCTTTTCATAAAGATAAAAATTACAATCAATTTCGGGCGATCCAAACGCTTCCGTTTGTTACTGTTTGCGAGAATCGAATTTTTTTCGTTCCACTACCATGACTCCGAAACAAATTGTTTATGTTCAACACTGTATTTGCATTGGAAAGGAAGAACATTCATGATTTCATGGTCGTGAGCACTTCATGATCTTGATAAAATCTTCAAACGTAAGTATTTCATGATCGAGAATAAAAAGCCAAAAACACCAACAACGTTTCAATCCTTTTACCACTCTCAACGCTCCCACTTATTTCCGAAATATTTTACCGTGACAAGATTTCGAATTCCTGATCAGTTTCTTTTCCAGATCGTGCCCTACTTGTTCTCAATGAATGAAGTGCAAATATAGTTCAATTGCTAATTAAACTCGCGATTGCTCGGCATCAAAGTGGTTCATAAACTGAATGTGATATGTTGGCTGCAACTCGTTCGGTCGATGTTCTCTGTGATTTCACATGTTACACGAGTGTATTGTTTGAGTTGTAATCATATATCATCGCGCAAAATTTTTTAATGGTATGATGTGTGATGTTGTTATCGTTTTACACGCAGTATTGTCTTGAGACGACTGCTTAAAATTGTACTTAACAAAGCGGTATTTGTAGACAACATATTACAGCATTGATAAAAAGTACAAACTTGCAGTATCAAAGACCAGGAACCCAGGCTAAATATGGTCGCACTAGTGCAAACGAATGCTAGTCACATCAGCATTGCGTAAGAAATTCATCGCACAACGATTTTGGAGGAGGAAGTTTCATACAGTAAAACTTAATGAATTGTTAGGAAAAAAATTGGACTTAATCGGACTCAGCTGGAAGGATCCCATCCGTAGTTACTCTCGAAATATTCAAAGAAGTCATCTGAGCCATTAAATGCAAAACTCCTCGGTTGTCTTTTTCCTGACAAGAGTGAATACAACGGATGGATTTGGAGGTTTTTATTGATGCTTTTTACACATAACAATTTAGTTTACCACAAGATCCATCGTAAGTAGCAGCTCTCTGAAATTAGGTGCTCCACTTTTTTCTCGGATGTACTGTAACCATAGGATTGATTCTAAAGGTGATTCAAAGCGACCTATGCTGACGACCCCGGATTGTGCTGTAGCTGTAGCACACAGATAACGAAATGAGCGAACGAGGACACACTGCTAAAACACACTAGAAAAGATAATCAAACAAGATTCAAAATGTAACAGCGTGCACTTAAAGTTGCCGTCATCTCAAAGGTGACTAATCAACGCAACCATATCCATAATAAGCAAGATATTCGAAATCAATAAGCAAACCTATTGGAAACTGCTCACAATTAATATCATTTAATATCGTCTGCGATGAATTGATGTTGAAGATGTTGAACAGTGGAAGGGAGATATTAGAAAATTCACATTTACAGCCACACCTGCGATGCAGCAATCTGCTAGTGGCTCAAAAAACAGTGCATGAAAAAGACACTGGCAGTAACTACAACAGTGCATGAAAACCCAATAGCAGAATCTTCAGGTGGCAGCTTCAAGTGATGCAAATCATGAAATCTTAGTTTTCAGCCGAAGATATGAAAATAATATTGGGCACGTAACTGAAATGTGCAGTGATGCCGAACAATGTCCGCACCTTCAGCAAATGATTTTTCATCAATGCTGAGTGCACGATAAGTATATACAACGATGAAAATGAGCAAAAAACTTCGAATGTCTTCTTCTCGTACCAATAAAATAGTCGTATTGTCAATGTGATATTCTTTTACAACCGGCAAATATCGTATACGTGACGAAAAGTTCATCATTTTATCTTTTTTTATCATTATCAGCCAAATCGTTATCAGCCACCTACTGATAACGCACAGAGGCAGGTTTTTTTGATTGTATGCTCTCGAACTAATGCATCCAACTTTGGGTGTGTTAAATGGCTTGTTAACGAGAAGGACATGCGATGTTGGACTCATTTTACACGCCTTTCTGTTGGTAATTTTCAAATTTTTTCGTTCGTCAAACGCAGCGATAATGCAACACGAATCGATATTCATATGGTATGGCAATCACAATGATCTTTTGAAGCATCAAAATCCTCAGAAAATTCAGCAGCGAAGAATATGTATGGCGGCCAGAAAATTCGTCTAACAGCGTTTTGCCTAATGGCAGTTTGTCTAACGGACGGTTTTTAATGGATATTTTGCCTAATAGGCAAACTGTTTTTAGGCAAACTATCCTCAGGCAAAACGATTTTAGGCATATTGTCCGGTCACGCCTAAAAATCAATCTTAATTTGCATGTCTTAAAACAACGAAACACTTTGCGACGATGTTACGGAAGTTATAATACTTCCAGTGATTGCGTATTGAAGATTTAAAATTTTATTTTCAACTTGTCGAACGTTCTTTAATTGAGTGATTGATTGATTCTAAAATATTCAAAATTACACATTATCGTATTATCTTATTGTTGCGAAATGGATGCTGAAGGGAGTCAATGTTGAGTGATGTATTGCGCACTGTTGAAGAATGTCTCGACATCGTTTAAGTCCAAACAGCCATCACCGAACGCTCCTTTGCACGCTTTCGGCTCTGATATCAGAATTCCTGAAATTCAGCATCGCATGTGCCTATTTGTTTGTCAGTTATTGCAGTTTTTTTGAGTTTATAATGAATCATCGAATGGTACATTACAAATTGGTTTGCTTCATGAAATAATTGGAGGTTACCTAACAGTAAGCATGCACTCAGCCAGGTGCCTCAGGTTGAATAATCACAATAATATGAAGATATACACACTATCAAGAGATCGTAAAAAATTGGAATTTAGATAACTCAACTGACCAGCAACACAAGCTGTCATACAACATGACAATATTCCTGTGATGAGCGCTCTGACAGCCACGCGTGAGAATGACGATTTGCGTTGAGGGCAGAGTGCAGAGAGAATACCTGTAAATACATTGCCGCTTTGAGGAATCATCAGGAATGTTTCCTGATCTACACATAAATCGCTCACCAATTTGTGTTCCAATCATTGAGATATTCGAAAATCCGCATAAGGCGTAAGTGGCTATCATTTTGGCACGTTTCTGAAAAGAAAAAAAAACGCACACTCTTCATATCGGACAGCATGTTCAACATTCACCGGACATCTTTTCAGATTATATTATGTACATAAACTTAGAAGAAGGTATTTATCACTAAAACGCTATTATGTCTTAATTTCGCATTGACTTAGATGACGGGTTCCATTTATTAGGAATGAGAAAATGATTCAGTGCTTACACCGGTTAATTGTCCAGTGCTGATCAGTTGACTAAGCTGCTGATAAGCAATAAATTCATTGAGTGCTGTCTTCACTCCAATCAACTCAGCTACCATTAGTGTTTCTTCAGTGGCTTTCTGAAAGGTATGTGTTCATGACAACATCTCGACTTTGCACCACAAAATTTGGTTCATGAACTTTTTGTTATTTTATTTCGTTGTTTTCTTGAGCAGATGTATTGAGACGATCGCAAAACTGACTCATAAATAAAATGAATCTGAAAAACTAAAATAAACCGCTAGAAATCAACAGTTAGGGAAAATCTTGCAACTGAAACAAAATGAAAATAATAATAAGCAACAATTTTACTTACCACAGGATCCTCTGCATCTGATGCTCCCAGCATGTAGGCAAAGGGGAAAAAACAATATCCGAGAATTTTCTGCAATAATATGAAATATGTTCAGGTGAAACATGCAGGAAGCGCGTTGTAACCGTTCAACACAAGAGAGGAGGGAATCGAGGATCTCACAGAAGATGAGAAATTGATACAGAGTTGATATGAACATTATGCGAAGGCGTAATTAATAATTCTGAAGAGCGTTTTGGTTGATTCTGAGTAACGAAGAGAAAAGTTGTTGGTTTATGGTTAATTAGAAATGACTAACATTGAATGTTAGGTCTGGCATATCAACGAGTGAACCGAAAAATGCAACAACAGTATTAAGACACGCCAGGAGTGCAATGTATACGATTAAATTGGCAGCAATCGCCCAAACCAACTTCGATGAATGCCACGCACCATCACATAAACACTCGAGAATGCTACTGGTGTTTCTGAAATCAGCAACCTTCACCGAATGCAACTGACTGACTCAAAACAGTTATCATGAATATCAGGAATGGAAGAAGTGGACAAACTTTGGTGTACTAGATAGAAATAACGGGAAAATTTGAATGAGGCTTTGGATGCAGTTGAATGATTGATTAATACTTTATTATAAACAATGACCGTTTGAGAAAGTGCAATTGGATGATGTGTTCTCTGATAACTTCATGCTCACGAATTGTTCTGACAAAGAGAACTTCTTACTAAACCAAATAGTTGAACGCATCACTTCTAGCGATAAAATGGATACCAAAAATTTGGGATCTTATCAGAAACGTTTTCAGGTGACTGCTGATTTTGAGCATCATGCAAAAGTGGCCACCACTGCTTCTCGTATATCCAAATGAGATAACGCAAAGTACCTGGTTGCAAATTTGAATGAGCCGACCTCTTTCTGGTTGGATTTTTGAACCTCCGGATACATCAATTTGGACAGAGCCAACGATATTGAAGCTGCCATAACTGTTGCAGAAAGGAGGTATGTTGGGCAAGCCTTCAAACTTGGAGGCGATTAACACTATTAAACTCTAATCAATCGCGGAGTGTCCTCATAGCATGAACAGAGAAAAAATGACGTTAAATCAAAACGATTTCAGGGATTAATAGTGATTTGGAGAATAAAATCTCCGAAATTTCTCTTTAATGATATGGCACAGTGAAAAGGAAGGAGATATGAAACGAGTGCAACAATAATTCTTGCGCCAAGTGCTCATAAAACATACACCGAAGGAGATGTATGCTGAGAAGAGCGAGCCAGCAATGCACGCAAAACCAGCCGACATCACCGCATGTATCTCGCTATCGGTCATTGTCTTGAGTGCTGGTCCTATCAGAACCGCTGATTCAGCCTAAAAATGCGGATGATGATTTCGGTTCCTTTCATCACGCTTACACTAGATAATTTCGCACTGGCGCATTTGCAAGGCTCATCATTTTGTGTGCTCCCCTCCTAATAATGAAAGTGAAAAATTATTTCAAAATGTCAAAGACTGATTGCTTCAGACAACTTAAAAAAGTTTCCAATAATCAACACAAAAGTGAAACCCTAAACGATCACTGAACCCAATTACATCAATTCTGCATTCACCTGTCCGAGGAATATGCAACCGGCTGCGTTCAAACTTTCTGCTGCCGTAGTACCAATAGTGTTTTGCATTAACCAAGCCACTCGCGTTAGAACGGTCTCGATGATTCCCAAGTAATAGAGAACACTTACTATTGCACCGAAATAGATTAAGATTTGGATAGCCTGAAAAAGGCAAAGTGATTCGAGAAACGGTGCAAAGAGAGCTTACGGACATTTAACGAAATGTTCAGTGTCGCATGAAAGAATGATGACAAGTCGAGCGAATTTCGAAAGATAATTCCGTTTTCAGTGAGAAAATTGTGACTGTCGTTTGCATTTTTGAGATTCACTTAATCTGAGAATGAACGGAAAATGGCCACTGAGAACATGTGAACGGAACACAACTTACACTAAAGATGAAAACCGACACCATTCCACATATCTTTGGTGGAGCAGCAACAAATCCGTAAGCGCTCGCAGCACCGACCAACCCATAATCGAGGAACGTTACCACCTGAACCAATTTTTTATTGAGCTTTCATAACTGCAAATCATTGCAGCATCTCTACGCGCCTTTACATAGAACCAGTGGCGTGGTTTCGTGAGCACAGAGGCAATGTAGAAAGAAAACTTTTGCTGGAGTGTCGTTCGCGAGCATAAGTCGAAAACCAGTGAACACGAGTGTGATCAGGTCAAGAATGTCTCGTGTACCCGTATGAAATCACCAAGCAGTACCTTTTCTCATAAGCTCGCATCACTGCATTCAAGCTTTTAGAGCAGTGGCTCTTAACATTTTTCAGGAATTAACCAGTTGGGATGAGAGTGTAGCCAAATCGCCTGCGTCCTTTTTCCTATTTAGCCGCTACTTTGAAAAGGGCTCAAAAGGCCACAAACAGTGGCAATCATGTCAATTTAAGTACGAGACTCAGAAATAATCAACACAGATTTTATGTAATAAGACAATGGTCCTCAGTCGTTTTTTCCCATCGCACCCTTTTGAGACGTCTTCGAAACTCATACAACAATACTTAAAATGTCCTCACACTCCTCACCACACACTCTGTATCGCTCATCAACTACAATGAGTATCTGTAATGTAGATAAGTATAAACGTTTAGAGTACGTCCTAGCCCAGTGGTTCTCATAGGGGGTGAAATTATCCATTTCGGGTAATTCGGAGGTGTCAAGCGATAGTGGAGGGAGTTGGGAAATTAGTATTTCGTACAGTTGTTATTTTATGATAGAAGTCCATTGTGATAGTGCTTTTTAACTCGGGTATGTTAGTTTTAACAGGGTTTTCATTCTTTTCCTTGCTGTTGCAATCGCTCTCATAGCTTTTATCAACAAAAGTATTCTCTTTTGCTAATTTCTCATTCATTTCATTCAACAATTGAAGTCAAATTCNCATTCTATCAAACACACTCTATAATTGATCATTTGACAGTCGAACGTTGTTGAGCAATTGAATTCGATTGCTGTATTGTTGATTTCGACTGTCAACACTCGTCAACGTATCCAGTAAATAATACATGCTAAAGAATAAGAAATCGATTCGCACTGTGAAGTGAAATGAGACGAAGTGAATGAGAAAAACTTATCAAGAGAACGATAATCACATTGAATAGCTATGAGAGTGAATACAACACGTCTGAAAAGAATGAGAATCCATCTAAATCAGTTTGAATTGAGCGTGTCATAGACAATAGCTTTTCATAGACAATTGCAATCATAATCAATTGCAGTCTAGGACAATGGTTCTCATTGGGAGTGAAATTACCCGTTTTGGGTAATATAGACGTGTCGGGGAGGGGAGAGGGGTAACGGTGGCCTACCAGTACATCAAAAGGGGTAATGGAGCACCCGAATGTGAGAACCACTGTTCTAGCCTTTTCAAAAATAGATACGTTGGAGTCCATCCTTATCTACGCTGCAAACACGTATGCGTTGAACTCCGTCCTCGCCTACTTTTCTCTATAAAAAATAAAAGCTTATCTCGCATTCCCTCCCGTACCCCCCTCTCAATTCCCCACATCGCACTCACTCCCGCACCCCCTCTTACCTCACTCTCTTCACACCCCCTGGCATGCCAACTCGCACCCCCAGGGGGGTATGCACCCCGGTTGTGAAACTCTGTAATAGACAAAGAAAGGTTTTATTTAAGGTGGCAATTAATGGTTCATGTCTGCTAAACAAAGCTCCATACAAAACTCAACTATTCAATTTCAAAATGAATGCTCACTGGCATTTGCCAATATGCAGGTTCCAAACGTGCTCATCTGCAACCCCTACACCAGATTCGCCCATTCGCGTATCCTTTCAAAAAGTCAGTTGTAAAACGTGCAATGCAAGTGTTGAAGAATGGGAACAGTTCACATTGAATAATATTTCTCACCGCGCAAATAGATCTCAGTCTCCAAAAACTGATAATAACGTAATACCTGTTCACTGAACCACTGAAATGCTTCATGTCCAGTACGCCATCTCAGTACCAAAAACGCAACAGTGATTTGCAATATAACTGCACAAATTACTGGTCGCCATTTCACCTGAATGCACTTTTACATAGAAAAAAGAAAATTTGTCCCAGCATTTATGGGGGAAATTAAAAATCGAAGAAATTTTGAAGAGGTAGTTCCAGATTCCAAACCATTCTGTATTTTTGCTGTATGCGACTCAATGAACGACTGGACCGAAGCGAGTGAAATGTAACGAAACTGATTGGGAAAAATGAAACAATACAGTACCTTCGCTGGATTTGCTGATAGTAGGAAGGCAATAAGAATGTACATTGCGAAGCCAACGAGACTTCTTAAACGTATCCGAGAGTCAGTCGAATCGGCTATAACCCACACCACAAATGCAGCGATCAGAAGCAATAGTGAGCATCTTCAAAATGAATCCGTTTCAACGAACAATTACATTCCCATTCAGAATTTTCTCGTCAGTTTCAAATCAACAAAGAAATTGTTCATTCAAAACGTTCAAAAAATCTCTTGACAAATATGATATGAGGAATCGTTTTCTCACAGCAATGGTCGATTGAATCTATCAATCCCACTTAATTTCAAAATAGACTGCAGTAAGAATGGCAGCCAGGAGCCACTGATATGATTGCTTGTTGCGGCTTTCATTCGTATATGAATGTATAAATAATTAATCAAGCTAACCGATGAATAATTAACAAATAATTTCACAGTGCACACAATTTCAGCGAAGCATTTGCAGAAGAGCGAGATTGGAATTTTAGACTCACTTATAAATTCACTTAGGAACGGTACTGGAAGCAGTGATTACAATAAAAAGATAAGAAACAACTACACTTTGATTAAGGGAGTGCCATAGACTGTCTTATTCCACAAGCGATCCAACTTTTGAGCGAATCGTGCAACTTTTGGTGCAATGCGATCGAGCCATTTTTTTACAACGAAAACATAGAATAAGCCACAATAAGTTAGGCACACCAATATGAGAAGTCCCAGTGAAGAGTGAATATCGCGTATGAATGCGTATATAGCGCAAACGTGAAATGTAATAATCAGTGTCACAGTGAAAATTAGTTTGAGCTTCCTGAAAAGTGTTAAATCTATTTTTGTTGAAAATAACATGCTTTGAATCGTTAAAACTCTCGAGAAATTCGCTCGAGTCGATCCATTAATTACCTGAATTCACCAGGCTGTCAAAGGTTTGTAACTTTGCTCGCGCAGTGTATTTCCATTTGGTCTTAACCTTGCCCTCATTTGCCAGGTGTTACCAAGTTCCTTCGGACTATGCTCTCCTCGCATAGAATATGTTCTCGGGACGATATTCCTAACTTCCATTTTATTGGAGGTCTCCTAAGTGGTCTTTTTATTTCGCTTATGATTAGATACCACTCCTCAACTGCACGATACCAACTTGCTATCGTTTATTCTTGTTCCGTGGCCTGCCCAACGTAACTTTCTCTTCCAGTACTCTACGATCCCATCTTTTACTTCGCTCCATCAGCGAATCTGTTCGCATTGAATGTGTTCCTGCGACGATATTCCCAGCATGCATCTATCTCTCCGTCACCGTTTGTGCTGTTATTAAGCGTTGTTCTCCTCTGTTTGTTGCGGCCCACGTTTCATTCGCAGGTAAAACGGTGCTATCAGAGAGGTGGACGCGGAGAGCTTTATTTATTTTCTCTTTCAGCACAGCATTTATCGAGTTGAACGCCTTCTATCCAGATCTTATCCTTCTTCTAACTTCCACTTTCATATCTTGGCTCATATTTACGTAAAACAGCACAATCGCCATATTCAATCAAAATAGTATCATGAACTATCATTCACTTAGTACAGAAATGATGAGTAAGACTAGAAATAACGGTACGTACCCACGTATGCCTCGATCGAATCCACTTTCTTGAATTTGCTCGTCATAGGGAATCTTCGTTTCCTCCTTGCATGCTCCTGGCGTCATTTCTCACTGAATGTTTTCTATGATTGAATGGGTTCTGAAAATATTATGTTGGGGTTGGATTGGAGGCAAAATCGCGCTCGGGTTCCTCGAGGTCGGTGGACGCTGAGAGTAGATGGGAGGATCGAAGGGCTCGAAATTCATAGTTGATCAGCTATTGCGGAACCCTACTCTCGGCAACCCCCACGTCTCGACGTGCCCGATCCAATCCTACATTATTTCACAACTACTGCATCATATGACTTCAGAATTAAAACCTGATGTTTTTATGGTAAAATGAAATGGAAAGAATTTGGTGGGTGATGAGGTGCTGAAATTATAGGTGGATTTACGTTTGAAGTGTAAATTGTCTTACAATGGAACGGTGAAAATGTCTGGAAGGCGTTCGAAACAGTCTGTCAGTGCAACGGTCTTCGCAAAATATGGAAGAGGTATTGAGTGAGGTGAGTGGACGAGAGAGCAAAACAACTCTATTGGCATTAGAATGAGAGGATGATATATTCAATCCGTTGCCGAAAGGTTACTTGTAATGATTAGGCCAAAGCAAAATGTCATTTTTAAAATCATCACCACTGCGTACTTATAAATTATTGCGTTCTGTACTAAGTGTTTTATCATCATTAGTATTATTATCAGCAACATCATCACCATAATCAAAATATTTAGAGTCATCAATACTGACTTAATATATTTCGTTTGTTTCCATATCCCTATTATTCACATGATTTTGACACAACATAATGTAGCCAATTTATAATATCATAGTTTTAGTCATAACGCGATGAGTGAACAGAAAAGTACAGTGTTTATTCGTATTAATTGATCACTCGATTGTTTCTAACGTAAGGTTGAATTACCCAAAATTGAGTTTCAGAATGAACGGTTGAAATGGTTGGCTAAATCCGTATACATTATGAGCAGTAATGATGTTTTCATTGATAAGTAACTGTATGATAATCCGCATCAACGAGTCAAATCGCTTGAAAATGTATGGAAAGAAAGCAACGTTCATCACCAACACGGCTTGTATCGATCAGAACCGGTGGATCGTAATAGGTTGCAGACAAGTGAATAGTTACAGTTGGAGAGATTTGTTACGATGTTGTTTGCTAGCAATGTGAGCATGAATCATCTGCATTCGAAGTATTAGAATTGGAGATTGGAATTACTAATTGATGATGATAAACACAGAGATGATGCTGCGAGCATATTTAATCGGCAGATTCGTAATCTATTATAATCTCCGTTAATACGGATGGATTTGAAAACCGACTAAAAAGAGAACGACTTGTAAAAACCGTGTGCAATATTATGCGTAAATATTTTGATTATGGTTGAGTTAAATGGTTGAGTGAATCGTCGTACAAGATTTTGTGAAGTTGAATATGTGCATATAGGATGAATAATTCGTAAAAAATTTCAGCTCTTATTGACGCACTTCGAGAATTTAGCATCGGTGAGGTATTGTGAGCATTCGGAATCAATGAAGTACGGAACATTATGAAGTGAAAGTGGGCATGTTAGATGGTACGGAAGCATGTTGATGCAGGCATTGCTTTCACTGTCAAGAAAATCTGTCTCAACAAATATTTCTTTCGCTCTCAATTCATGAAAACCGTAATAAATGCTTGTTTCGCAGGGTATTCAATATGAATATGCAGCAAGAAAATGAATGGCGAAATTTTGCTATATTAACAATACGTGAAGAAAACTTTTCAGCTGTACAATTCCTATCGAGCAAAACAATATTTGAAATTTCTGAATAACTCCCGATGGCTAGAGGTTGTTGATGGAGACCTGAACAGTTGATGCTTCTGCGAACGTATGCTAGATACTTCCACATAATTGATAGAACATTTCATTTGATTTCCAACGTCTGAATTTGCGATAATGTTACAGAATTGAATTATTGGTAAGGTTGAAAAAAATTTGACCGATAAATTAGACAGGGATTTCTTTTTTCATGCGTAACCAAACGGGAAAACGTCGATAGCGGTGAGTGATATCGTAGGGTTGTGAATGAAAATGGTCACAGAAAAGCGGTGAATGATCTGCTGATAATGTTTTGGTGATACGTTGCTATTGTGCTCCTTCCTGGAGAGTGTTTACTTTGCATTGATATTTCGTTTATTGTGTGCACAAAATGAGCATTGATACAGTTTCATGCGTATTCTATTGCCAAACGTTTTCTGTTTGAAATAGCCTTTACCACTGTCGAGTACTGGTGTCATTTAATAAATTCGTAGACAACAAATGCTGAGTGAAACATGAGAGAGTATGAACAGATTGTCACATTCATTGACAAAGCGATTCTTCGTAAACTAATCAAATTTTTCTGAGTATTCATCAGTGCGATTGAACAATTCAAAACTGGTTGCCCAGCATAACAATGGCAATTCTGTGGCGCACTTTAATATGGAAACACTTCATTTCCCGTATGTGGTAGTGAAAGCACCTGTTGTTAAAGAAGTCAATTGCTCAAATTAATTGAGGACCAATTCGAGGGGATTTTTGCGAGAACATCTTTCATAGTGTCCATGATCCGCCAATGAGTGGGCCAAGAAAGGCAATTCATGAACATCAACATTGCACTGCATGTTCATTTTCATGTTCTGCTATTTTCAGTGGAGGTTTTTGAGGCAGCAATTCTTCTGCATTCTTTTAGACCTAAAAAGCAATGTCTTTCGCCACATTCAGTTCTGCGACATTGTGATTTTTTAGTAGCATCCTTATCGAATTGAGTATTTGCATTGATTCGTGCAGTAATATTAAATGCAACTGATAAGAGATTCAGTGTCTGGGGAAAGCTTGACGATAAGCAGCTCACGATTACGCCACAGTTGATTTTTGGGATTGTTAACGAATTGAAGCTCTTTTAAACGCCTACATCTTTTAAACCTTATAGCATTTCGCAAAGTCGTAAAATTTCAGCGTGGTTGATTAAATTGTTTGATGGTCTTGAGTTATCGCAGCTGTTTTATTCACATTAACTCATGGAAATGGGAAATGTGCGCAAAAAATTGCTGATTCTATCAATTCATAGCATTAATAACTGAGAACAATTCGAAGTTAGCAGTTAACAGCAGCTATCATGAATGAGTATCTTTTCGTGTGAAAAGTACAACGGTAATTTCATTTTCTTCGAGAGGCACGAATATAAAGTGCAATGAAAGCAATAACGCGAATAATGATCGTCATTATCAAAAGGGCAAGAATGTCCGGGTATAGATTGTCCGCATTGAAACTCAACGACTCGATCACATCGGCACCCGTTTCCAAGCAAGTCGTTCTGTTCGCGCAACCTGAAAGATGCAAACAAATGAAAACGACAAACTCGAACTGATATTACAATTTGAAAAATTCTCTATTATCTTGAATTGGTGACCATAATAAACAACACTTTCTTTCGTTCGGTGAGCTCATAAACTGACCGATTCGGACGAAGTGAACAATAAAATCAATGTTGCGCAAAATTCACAATGTGTGATCAAAACTAACCAGGAATATAGTCAACATGGCTCCATTCATTAATCACCAACGATTCGTAAGCATACCTGAAAGGAATATTCCATTTCATCTACACATCTTGCTGATCATCAATCGATTCATTTGGTCGATAAAAACAAGGAAGTCTACAAAAACTGCGAAAGTGACGTGTGAATAGCCAATCAGTGAACTGAATAATTTTCAACGAATTCGCACGATACACTTTCAGGCGTCGCAATTGAACAAACAACGATTAGTACATCTGTTTATAGTGCATAAATGCAAAAAANAAAAAATCAGGAAGAAAATGGTCACCAATTTGTTCGATTGTTACCTTCGAAATGAATAATTACAGTATCGACGTTTCCCTGATGGGATGAACTATTTCTGTGACAAAAAAGTGGACGATAAACGAGACCAACCCGAAATAGGAAAGAAATCTGAGGTAAATGAAATAGATGGGCAATGTGTCCTGATTGATGAAGAAACCGGCAAAAGCCATTGCGGGCAGAACAAATGCTGGCATAACGCTAATTGCAACGCTGATATCCTCAAATATGCACGACGCCGCATAACCTCAAAATGTTCATTTTTCATTTGAACCAGTTATGGAATGCGATCTATAATGTATCGATAAAAGCTTCTCTTCGATATGAATTTTCAGTTCGGCTGTCCCGATGTTGCCTTCATGTAGGCAGCGAACGATAATTCCCATTTTTTAAAATGAAAACTCATATAATAACCACATTTAGTGCAGAATTCTAATTCTCATTAAAATGATTAGGTAGTTGTTTCAAGGAAACGAGCAGCACATTAATCCTAGACATCTATTCTTACCAATAGAAATTGCCGTATTGGCCATGAGCACATTGATTAAACAACACAATGCAAACGCTCCAACAACAGGTGCTAATCCTGAAAAGTAGACATGTCAGTTAGGAATTAGGAGTACCAGTCAACAGAATAATTGCTTAATGAATGTTTTATCCATCATCTGACAAGTCGCAATGCTTGTTTCGAGTGCATATGATTAAAACTAGCACTGTGATGGTTGTTTGCTACGATATTGCTTATGAATGTTTCTATGATATTTTTTTCGAATATCCACTCAAGTTACATGATTCACAGCAGTCGAAAAACATTTGATCGCTAACCAGCCATCCAATAGAGAATTGACGTGAATAGAAGAGGCAGCGCAATATACTGTGGTGCCTGAAATTAATAAATCATTAAAACAACCTTTGATAATTTATGCACAATGAGTAACCGATTTGCGTATCATTTCCGACATGATTCTCCTGTGAAAAAATCGAGGAACTGACTATTGGAGCTAATATCTCCAAATTAACAAAAAATAGATTTCCTTATTCCAATAATTGTTAATGGTAGATGATGGATGATTTGTTCATATCAGATTTCACTTCACCTAACTGCAGTTCGTGATGAGTTAGAACTGCATAAAGTCGTGATGAGTTTCAATTGTTCATCACACAAATAAGTAGATGAACAAAATCCAGTTCTTATTCAGGTAACTGTGATGTTAAGGGAGTTTGCTGCTTCTTGAGGAGAAATTTCTTGAGTTACTGCGAGAAATTAATGGTATCATGAAAAGACAGTTTTCAAATGAGATTGTTGAGGAAAGAACTCACCTCGGCCAAATTTTTCGCAATGAAGTAAGTATCAGTTCGATAAAGACCGTTCGCATGCTCTCTGAGGAAAATGGGCATTTCCACGCAGAAAACCTAGAGAATAGGACTGATTTTATCAAAACAAACGCTCACAGTAAAATGAATTTAGTCTCAAAAATCGTTTTTTGAACTTTCGCAATCAAACAATCCGTGTTGCAACGATTCATCTCGTTGTTCTCGAATCATTTGAGATGAAATGAAGTTAAAAAAACACAAAAAATTACTTCCGCAACTGACCTCGACTACAACAAACTGGAACAAATAGTTCATGTTACACACAAGAGTGAACAAAACCCCATTAATGTTCAATATTGTTGACTGCTGGACCGATGTTCCCAAATAAACGAGACCTATTAAAACACCTATTATCTGCAATTGCTTACCGATAGACTTCATTTTGTGACAGTACGTACCTCAAATGCCATTAATTTTTTATAGATGATGTCCTGAATGAACTGAAAGTAGATGATCTACAGTATTTAGTTAAGTGCCTTTCATAAGATATTCGACACAATTAAATGTTCGAACAATGCTGAAGTTCGAAAAATGCCTAAAAGCGGATGCCGCTTGGTTTGCTCAAGCTAATAAACACGCAACAGTGCAGCTGAAACAAGCTCACAAGGAAGTAAAAGCGATATTTCTAGAAACGACTAACGACTGTTTGAAAAAGCCGAACACGCAATAACACAGGATTTCGAACTGTCGTTAGGAACGATCGCCATATGAGATAACGCATTTGCGTCAGCCAGCTAGAATGAACCTTCGGTTGCGATTACTCAGTAACACCAAGCCAAAAGAAGAGTTGGCATTCAAATAAGAATTTCTAAGAACTCTAACAACAATCCGAAAAACATTGTCTGAAATTAAGCATTGATGCCTCGCAAATAGTGAACGGAAGAGAATTTATCAACACCCGCGTGAGATATTCCACTAACTATGGAATGTTTTGAAGAAACGCAGAATTTTCATCAATGTTTGAATAATGTTTTCAAAAAATCAAACACACTCGAACCTGCTCGGTTTATTGTACTGCAGTAAATCACTGGATTTAAGTTCATCGAATGGTGAACGCTTGAATTGGCTTGAAGATTGTGCCACTGAGCTGACGTTATTCATCGCCTCTTCTATTACTTGTTTGCCTTGATTGGAATTGACGAAATGATCGCAGATTTTCTGAGATAAGTCATATGAGAAAAATTCATTCACCTGGTTGTGGTAGCTCGTTTGCAGTATAAATTATCGCTTCGCCATTACATGAGTTTCTCGTTATGTTGAAACTAAGCGATTATAGTTCAGAGAAAAATGAGTAGTTCCATTTTATGAGCAATTACTCGCTTACATTAATGCTCTCAATTGAGCGCTGTCGATGCTTGCCAGTAGCTGTTCCAATTGTTTTCAAGAAATGATCACTTGGATTGTAATTCTTCGGTAATGGGTACCCGATACTGCAAGTTGTTGCGAGGATCGTATTTAATTTGTTTTTGAAATTTCTCTTATGCTTTTCAGATTTTTTGGGTGTGTTCTGTATTTTGAACCGTGTTAATTGCTACTGCAGGACGCAATGATAATGTCAACTAATTCGTTTCAAGACATTCGTTTCCGAATAATACAGAAGATTTCTCGCAGATCTGAACTTAATCATGTGATGCCCTCTAAAAGCGTTCTTGAGAAAACATTTCCACTAAGATTATTTGGACAGCACTGTCAGTGGGTATCGTTTAAGAATTGTGTGAAAGTGTGGATCAGGATAGAAACAAGAATTTAGTAGATCAAGATAAGATCAAAACGTCGAAAAATCACATAATCATAATAGTGCACTGCTAGCAGGTCGTTCAAACCAAATTTGCTAGCACTGCTTCTCTTAAGCTCACAAGTAACGTTGGCTTCAACGAGAACAAAGTCAAATTTTGGAAGCGTACTATCGCATTTCATTGCTTTATATCTTGATGTTCATTGCAGTAGAAACGATCATTTTATGCTTGTGAATGTAATGAGAGCATATCAAAGTTCTGAGAAATACCTGTTCCACATTTCAATTGCATCCACTGAACGACCATTAAATGCAACTCTTCCTTCGGCCATTAGCTGAATCCTGGAAAATGTTTTCTACGAATAGACGCTATTATTTTGGAGGGATGGGTGCCATTAGGAACGTATCGCCAGCTGATTTGAATGTTCAATAATAATGAATTTGATTCGATTTTGTGAAAAGCCGAAGATTCGCGACAAATCCTCAATGCTGATTTTTGCTTGATGCGAGAATGTAGCAGATGCACCCCAATCAGCAACCGTTGCAATTTTCACAAGCAAAATTTCGTCACGTGAAATACTTTTCGTGAAACTGCTTGCTCAATTCATGGGAATTTACATGGACTGAACCAGCGTCACCCTTCGGAATAAAGTTACTTGTATCCCATAACCAAGAGGAAACAATGGGAACTTTGCAACTAAATAAAAAGTTTCAAATTGACTGAATATGAAGCATGCCTATCAAACATCGCGAAAACTTGGCTTGATGGTTGGTGAATGGTGACAACTATTGACATTCCTTTACGATGTGTCAGTCTCTTTAACACCTGCAATACAACCGGACATTGCAGCTTTCACTAAACAGTATACTCCAAGAATCCATTCAAACTAGGTGGGTTTAATGTTTGTTCCTAATTTTGCCATCAACTGAGAAAGTGTTTGGAGCCTCTTCTTCAGTTGCATTCCATCAAGAAGTTGCATTGCAATAACTCAGTTTAGCTTATACATACCAATCAAGTGATCGTGGCTCTTTGGATAATGCTTTTGGGAATAATCAATGAGGAACATCCCATGATAACGATGAATACATATCATGAGAGGAGCTATTGGGGAAAGATATATACCTGAACAACTTGCTGTGCGAGAAATGCATCCAGTCCAGACGTTGGCTCATCACAAAATATTAACGGTGGACTCGTCAGTATCTGAAAAAAAATGGAGCGACCATGATACAGATATTCCTTTTGAAATGCAGCAATTATCTGTAGAAAGTAAATGAATAATTCATAATGATTTCCAGTGGAAATTGTGGTGCTCATCAAGCATTCCAATTGTGTTCCTTTAATAGTGATAAGAAACTGTTGTTCGGGCGTAAAAAGGAAGATACCTCGCAAGCAAATGCAAGCCTTTTCCGTTCACCGCCGGATATGCCCCTTACACGATCATGCAGTCCAACAAATGAATTCGCGCATCCAATGAGACCCAGCTGCAAATGATCACCTTTAGATGATCATTCATTCTGTTTGCATCAGACAATGGATTTATGGAGCTTGGATATGATATGAATTCTAAAAATGATGTTTTTCGCTGCCCTCGTTGAGTTAAGTAGTCAAATGTGACCGATTGAAATGTGCAGTCGTGAAAGAGCCGTAAACGCTGCGTGTTTTACTTGCATAAGCTGCACAAATGAAGAAAACGAGTTGCAAAGTTAACGGCAAGCAATTTTTGAGTGAATTCAATTGCTCATTCATTATTTTTCTGAGAACACCGCGTCAAGAAAAGAAACCGACAGCTGCACTCACAAATAATGAGTGAGGAATATATGTATAAAAAACTCCTCATGCAGCCACCAAGAACCCACGTAACATATGTTCACAATGTCGACTATGAAAGGCAGAAGTAGTCTCTCAAATCAATCAGTTCTCACATCGCGCATTGTCTCCTCCACACGCTTTTTTCTCTCCTCATATGAATGAAGATTGCCCATTCGAAGTGCCGCCTGCAAAATAAATTAAACTCTGTTTGCCTCGAACGGATACATTGAATGATGGAACAGGTATGAAAAGCACTTACGTAAAATGTTAGGTGCTCTTTCACTGTCATCGATCCCACGAAAAGATCATCCTGCTGAACATACGCACAAATACGCCTCATTTCTGACGCATCCAACTGTTGTCCATTTATCGACACAACACCATCAACGTGTAAACCATTCAAGTTGCGTTTTGTTAAAACATTCAACAGTGTCGTTTTACCTGATCCACTGTAATTAACCAATGTTGGTCAAACTCCCGAGCTGCTCTCTTATCGTTGATGAACATTTGCTCCCATCAACTGCCCAATTTCATTCGAAAATTAAGTTATGCTGGGAAAGTTCATAAAAAGTTATCATGATCTTTGAGAAACCTATCGAGAACTGTTCATCACCGTTTTCTTACTATTCAAATTTGATTCAGGAATGAAAGTTTGAAAATAGATTTCTATGCACATCAGAGGAAACGATTCCCTCAAAAGGCTCGAAGTTAATGCACGTTCTGATCTCAAAAATTAATCTAACGATAAGATAAACTGATCTGTATAATTTGTACGATTCAGGCAGGTGCTGTTGTCAAACGTGTGTAATTTTTATGCGAAAAGCACTTAGTGGTTTCTATGTAAAAATTTCCGATTGTAAGGAAAATGTTTGAATGCAAAGTAATAGCAGTAATTAATGCTGTGTTCACCGTTGCACATTCAGTGCTATCAAAATATGAAGTTAATGCGATTTTACCTCGATCCAAGAATTGCCAGCAATTCACCGGATTCTGTTCGTCCAAAAACTGAAAATGAATCGCGTTAATGGGTTTCCTAGTGCCATTTTATTGGTCAATTATAATGAAATTGGTTTGGTTATTGGCAAAACTCATTAATTGGTTATGACTAATCGTAAGTATATCAGTCAGCATGGTTCAGGTAAAAAGATCATGTCTCATTCTCAATTTCTCTTCATTGAATTGTTTCAATTTCATCTGATCCATATAAGAATGTACTGATGGAACGTTTAGACTCTGAGCACTACGATTGCTTATCCCGACGGTGGCGCCCAAATTGCAGCGAGATCATCACTTAAATCTCGGTTCATCGTTCAAGTTAATCTCTCTTTCACTGTCGCAATAATTACTCATGGCAACTTATTCACTCGATTCACTTGCTGCATGAATGTATCAACCAAAAACACCCGTGCTGTATAATAGCAGTCACTGAAGCCCGGTCTTTGCATGCCATCTCATTTCACCTTGGATAGTTGAAGAATGATAATTTGGTTCATATCGAGACCCTGAGGCGCTTGTCACCCATCATGATGCCGAGATCAGCTTTCCGATTTGTCAATGTCCTAAAATGCGCTCAAAACCTACCATCTTTCAAGATGTAATCCCGTTTTTCATTTTTATGTTTATTGCGAAACAGATACTGTTTGGTTCGTTTCACGCAGCTCCCAACCAACCCATTGCTGTTCTCACCAGGTTGAATAACCTTAAATTTGAATGGTAATCAGTTGAGTTCTACTATATTTAGTTTGGCCATATTTCGAGCAATTTATATTTAGTTTGGCTATGTGTGGATGGTTTCCTTCGAATTCTATGATGTGTGGAGCTTGCAAATGAAAAAAACTGAGCATTTCTGCTTCTGAAGATGGATTTTAGAAGTTATAATTTGTGAAAGTAGAATTCAAAGTCAAAATTAATGAACTGAGCGCTTTCAAAACGCAGTGGACTAGGAAAAAGCAAATTTGAAAATCTCGATGAATCAGTAGGACGTTCATCTGATAATCGGTAAGTTTAATTTGGCAAAAGAATTCAATTTACTGGTTTCTCTATGATCACTTCATTCGCTGTGTTTTCTGCTCGTATTATTGACAATTTCAAGAATTGCAAACAATCAAGCGATTAGTCAGTTAACTCACCCTGACATTCACGTTATGCCATGTGAGATGAGTGTACGGAACTGTTGTGGTATTCGAAACCTGAATTGGAATGAAATGAAGGCTCCTATGGTTAGCACAGAAACTATAATGGTGGATGAATCATTATTGCGATACTTTTTTCGACTTTGTATGCATGTTATCAATACCTTTTCGCAACTCCAGAGGAATTGAAAAGAACTGTCTTCTTGTTCTGAGCTGCATGGTCCAAATGAGTTTAGAGTTTGGTCGTCATGCACAATCCATGGTCTATCTAAGTTTCATACGTCCTTCACGATGTAGCTGCATTTAATTGGCTCTCAGAAGTGGCCCATAACAAAACGAATAAAGTCCGAAACTTATGAGTTTAATCGTTTGACAGTAAATTATGAATTTTGCCGATGAATTATGAATTACCTAGTACTTCTGTTTACAAAAACTAGGCTGCAATTGTTTTTCTATTAATTTACGCCGATGAACTGTGGCCACTTAAGTATGCACATTACAGTTTATAAGCTGAGGTTATGAACATTTTATAACGCAGAACCACGTGGATAACATTGCTGAACGAACATCAGTTAGTCAAATGTAACTGCATTGTGAATGAAGTCTGCAGTTTGGATAGTGCATGATGACCGAATTCTGAATCTATTCGCATCACTGAGCACACAACAAGGAGTCGTTCTCCTTGCAAGCCTATTCTCCTCTCAAGTTTGTATGATATCGGAACATTCGTTACTTCATCAAGAACAGCAGCAAGAAACGAACAGCTCTTTGAAAGACACGCTCATCATCCCAGTACGGGATGTTCTGTTCGAGGCTTCGTCCAACAAGATCACTATCCACTGAATCACCAATGACTGGTTTCATAGCACTTTCCTCCAAATCCAGAACAACACTCGTGTTGTCGAGTAAATTCACGGTTTCAGCGAGTGACATCTGTAAATTTTTCTTTTATTATTCGCAGAATTTCACGTTTCTCAAGTACATTTACTATTGTTACGTCTAATTCTGTCATGAATCTAGTCAAAATACCTTAAAAATTATTTATTACACTTTCGGTGGGTTAAGTCACAGATCGCCTACAGTACCGTTCCACAGCCGGAGAACGTTTAACCACAGCACATTCTTAATGAAAGGCGCACATATCGGTCGTTAACTCGTCTGCACAACAAAAAAAAAACTCCATTCAATTGGCTATTATAGAAGGCCACGAATTCATTCCATTTGTGGTGCTGAATTTTATGTTAGCACCCAAGTGACCCTGTGGGAACCAATCAAATCAAAGTTGTAACGTGTTGCTAATAAAGCAGCACAAACGATAAGGTACAACCATCATTAATTCAATTTCCGAATAGCTGTTTCAGCTGAAAATATACTCCGTCTCTGATGTGAAAGCAAGACCTCGCTGAACAAAACCGAATTTAATTAAACGCTAAAAGTCAAGGGAATTGAGATTCCCAATCGAAACACAAAAAATCATTAATGATAACAATTAATTGCGACAATCAGTTGATAATGAGTTTCGGTGACCTATTTGTAGCACATTGCGTGTTCAATTTATTTCTTATCTTATCAAAGTGTCAAATTTCCTTAGTAAATGTTGTTGTCTTCATTGAACGTTTGCTCACAAAGATAGGAGTTTATCACACAAACAAATCATTCCGTTCAATTTTCATCGCATGCTATTGAATCACAAATTCACGAGGGAGAGCCTTTTGAAACATCTTACATACAATCGTAACTCAAATTTTCTTCTCAAAAGCATGCAGTATTTCACACAATTACGTATTTTCGGGGTCACATTTTATTAGACAGATATGTTTGATTGAGTTTGTGACGAATGTGGATCTGAAAAAATTTTGAAGACAGCGGCGCATTTGACTTCTGAGGATACCAAATGCTGCACACATCTCTTTTGCTGACGAACAGATGCTTACAAATTACAGTCGGAGATCACATAATATGTAAAATTAACTTTTCCGATCGAACGCACTGGCTGACAGTGAAAAGCACAATCTCATTGGCTAATAGCTTTTCATAGCGAAAGCGAATCATTGTATCGGATTTTGTCAAAGTTAATAGATACTTCAAAATTTTTTCAAAATTAAACATTCATCCTTTGATCCATTCAGGAATTCAATTGAGCATGGAATGACGGTTACAATGCTTCATTTCGCATTAATACAAAATCAATGCAAAGTTGGGACAATACCACTTTGACGAACTTTTTGGATTTATCTCTATAAGCATGCTTTATGTTTATAAATCCACCATTGCTTTTGCAGGGAACTCTGTTGTTGTTGTGCATATACCGTCATGACCATCACTTGTTTCTGTAGCAGAACGCAGTAGTATTATTACATTTTGTTGAGCCTTACATGCAGCAACATCATTTACGGCGCGATCTCACAAGTGCTCCAAATGCACGCTTACTCTGAGGTGATGTTACACACTAAGCTGAAAATGCATTTCAGATTGTTGGGCATTCTTCCTGCGACTCGACTCACATTTACTGAGGAAGATATTCGAATGGTTATCACATTCACCGCGGAACACCAACGTAAAATTCGCTGAGAATGTCTTTCCGTTGAATGCTAAACAATGCACCATCTGTCGCTTCTCATTCTCTGCAACGATATTTTAACAACCATGATCGGCCTAAGTGCCAATGTGCTTGTTATTGTGTTGTGTGTCACCGTGAAGGCTATCGAAAACGTGAATGTGCGTTTCTTCCTCGGATGGCGGGCCAGTTCCGACTTCGCAATGGCAATAATTTTCACGGCACTTCAATTAGTTGGTTTTTGTTGCGAATGATTTGGTGACTTTTGCGATGAAATGGTTCAAATGTGTGTGTTGCAGTGAGCGGGGATTTCGGTGACCTAGTCTCCGATTCACCGTCCCCGACTTCGGAACCATTTGCATTTCCGAGGTCTCCGACTGTGAAACTCCGTCCCCGACTTTCCCCGTCCCCGATTAATTTTTCGTATCCGCAACACACTTGTTCAAATGAAATATGTTTTTCTTATTGCTGGCCTGCTTGAAAATGTGATTGATGCTAGTTCGTGACGTTTCGATTCAACTTAAAGACAGCATCAGCTTACTTTATCTGCACATCTCCACTCGTCAGTAGAATCTTCTGGTAAACGTATGAAGCCAGAACAATTCTTTCTTCATTTGGTTCATTATGTCAGCAAACGATTCGTTGGTATGGGCGAAGCAGAGAAGTATTTTTTAATTTGAATCCGGAATAATCGCAGGAAAAGCACATTGAGTAAGGTAGAATTTCATTTCAGGGATTAACTGTTACGAGTGATTATCCAACAGTACTTGTTTACGGCCCGGTCGCGCGATTTCCTATACAACTTCAGCGAATTCTGTGTACCATACTGATGTTCCTCTTCAATCTCGATCTCATATTTCTACCATGGCCCATTCTGTGCCGCTACAGTATCATATGCGGGTGCGTTCTGCATTTAGTACAATAAACACCGAGTTGAAAATGCATCTTTTCTGATGTTACGTCGACTTAGCAGTCAATATTTCGGCCAGAATCCTCAATCTATACCCTCATAGCGTGGTGACGGTTTGACGAGAATATTCGTTAATGACCATGAATGTGTTCGGACGTTCTTGATCACCACAACCGATAAGCGGTTTCAGAAATTGGCTTCGTAGGATTTGAAATCTGAATAATTTCTTCAATTGACATAAATTTAGATCATTTTACGATCACAACAAATTTTCAAATTTTTCAAGCCCACCAGGTTTTCTCTTCATCTTAAACGTTACCATCTAGAGCAACAAAAAAAACGTTAGACCAATCAGGTAACGATATTTTCAGACGGCACCTAATACAACGCTTTTTCACAAGAAATCATTTACCAATATTCATATCGCTAATGGCCTTAATCGCAATGTCGTTCGCGGTTATGATCCAACCTTTTTTCCAATATTCACACTCGAACATCACCGATGGCCCTTTGCAATTCATGGGCTCTCCTCTTCAGGTGGATTTGCCTCACAAGGTAAGTTGTTCCTCAGGCTTGATTGCTATTCGAACAGATCAGCACCACATCGTTCGCTGTTGATGAAAAAACCTTGTTTGTTACCACGTTGTTGGTTCCATGCCTACAATATGAGTTGCCATAAGATAGGGGATTTTTATCCGAATACGTATGTTGCGACTTTAATTCCACGTATATAAAGGAACTTCCGATTTCATTCTCGGTCATAACACTTTTGTCATTAGTTTGGTCGGCGTCAGTCGTGACTCAAAGCAAATGAAAATCTCAGCAGAGGTCCGATGTGAGCCTCAGTATTTCTCCTCAGGTGAACTTTGGCCCAGCAACAATAGTGATGGTCGAAATCCATTTTTCTAATTCTGAATATTTGTAGCCATGGAAAGACAAAAAAATGCCAAAATCGAAACGATATTTTGCCTAATGAATTCAGCCTTACGAACATTTCGCCTAGCGGATGTTTCAGAAGGGAACTCCTCTTCGCGGTTAGCCACAACGTTACCGGGAGTTCGACCGCGGCCTAGAGATGAACCTCAACCCAAGCCAAACATCAACCTCAGCCTTAGTCTCAGTATCAACCTCAGCCTGAGCCTGAACATCAATCTCGCAAGAAAAGATCACAAACTTTCGCAACGAGTCATATATAACCTAAAGCCAAAAAAATCATAAGCGTAATCCATGCCCAACACCGCTAAGATAATCAGCAATTCCTTGTGCAAAACTGTTCTATAACTAGATTACGAAATAAGTAACTCCGAGAACATCCGAGTCTGTCCATTAGCCAAACTGTCGTTAGGCGAGGTGACGGGACATGGCAATTATCTGTGATGCAGGACAGCAATGAGGTCGAAGTTAAGGAGTAAAGTTTGAAGTTATTACCAACATTATCTCAGAATTAGAATGGAACGCTGAAACTGCCTAATAATGACTTACTCGAGTCGTTTTTCGGCTTGCATCGCTATCTCTTCAACCAATCACCAACATAATTAGAGCTATTATTGTAAGCGTGACGTCCAAATTCACCAACTCATTCTTCCCTCATTTCACAAGCATTTAGCCGAATTGAGATTCCGCCAATTGAAATTAGGCTTAAGGCCGTGCTTACAAAAAAATTATCGGTTTGAGCTGAGGCTCAAACCTATGATCAGGCTACGCTTTATGCCCAGTACATTTAAACCTAACAGTAACGTATCAATTTCTTCACATCAGTCGATCGAGCAGAATCTCTGCATTCAGAAAAACATATATTTTGTTGAGCGATATTGCTTTGCTGAGAAGATATAGCTATTTATTTGTAGCTATCTCAACTAGCGCTGACGTGCTCACTGATATGCATTCGATCACTATAGATCAACAGATATTATACATTACTCTAGAAATATAGGTTTGGTACATTCAAGCCTACCGTCTTCTCAAGTTTGCCCAGTGACATATTGATATTTATACATCAATCAATTGAGCAGGGTCTCGGCTTCCTAACAGTGAAAAGCTTGCTGAGAAATTCCGCCTCTGCGAGGAGATATAGCTATTTTTCTGATGCTATAGGGGTTAGTATATTCAAACCTACCGTACTCTCAGCTTTAACCAGTAACGTGTCAATTTCTTCACATCTAGTGTTCGTCGGGGAGCAATTTTTTGCACGGGGGGGGTCCCCGCGGGGAGTAAATTGGACGGGGGGGGG